CATCCTTACTGTACATCTGGCTTCATTACCCGTGTGCTTCGTTACCTGTGTGCTATTTGTCATCCTTACTGTACATCTTGCTTCATGACCTGGTGCTGCTTTACCTGTGTGCTATTTGTCATCCTTACTGTACGTCTGGCTTCATGACCCGGGTGCTGCTTTACCTGTGTGCTATTTGTCATCCTTACTGTACGTCTGGCTTCATGACCTGGTGCTGCATTACCTGTGTGCTTCATGACCTGGTGCTGCTTTACCTGTGTGCTCTTTGTCATCCTTACTGTACATCTGGCTTCATGACCTGGTGCTGCTTTACCTGTGTGATATTTGTCATCCTTACTGTACATCTGGCTTCATGACCAGCTGCTGCTTTACCTGTGTGCTATTTGTCATCCTTACTCTACGTCTGGCTTCATGACCCGGGTGCTGCTTTACCTGTGTGCTATTTGTTATCCTTACTCTCCGTCTGGCTTCATGACCTGGTGCTGCATTACCTGTGTGCTTCATGACCTGGTGCTGCTTTACCTGTGTGCTATTTGTCATCCTTACTGTACATCTGGCTTCATGACCTGGTGCTGCATTACCTGTGTGCTATTTGTCATCCTTACTGTACATCTGGCTTCATGACCTGGTGCTGCTTTACCTGTGTGCTATTTGTCATCCTTACTGTACATCTGGCTTTATGATCCGGGTGCTGCTTTACCTGTGTGCTATTTGTCATCCTTACTGTACATCTGGCTTCATAATCCGGGTGCTGCTTTACCTGTGTGCTATTTGTCATCCTTACTGTACATCTGGCTTCATGACCTGGTGCTGCTTTACCTGTGTGCTATTTGTCATCCTTACTGTACATCTGGCTTTATGATCCGGGTGCTGCTTTACCTGTGTGCTATTTGTCATCATTACTGTACATCTGGCTTCATGACCTGGTGCTGCTTTACCTGTGTGCTATTTGTCATCCTTACTGTACATCTGGCTTCATGATCCGGGTGCTGCTTTACCTGTGTGTTATTTGTCATCCTTACTGTACATCTGGCTTTATGATCCGGGTGCTGCTTTACCTGTGTGCTATTTGTCATCCTTACTGTACATCTGGCTTCATGATCCGGGTGCTGCTTTACCTGCGTGCTATTTGTAGTCTTTACTGTACATCTGGCTTCATGATCCGGGTGCTGCTTTACCTGTGTGCTATTTGTCATTCTTACTGTACGTCTGGCTTCATGACCCGGGTGCTGCATTACCTGTGTGCTATTTGTCATTCTTACTCTCCGTCTGGCTTCATGACCCGGGTGCTGCTTTACCTGTGTGTTATTTGTCACCCTTACTGTACGTCTGGCTTCATGACCTGGGTAGTACATTACCCGTGTGCTATTTGTCATCTTTACTGTACATCTGGCTTCATGACCGGGTGCTGCTTTACCTGTGTGCTATTTGTCACCCTTACTATACGTCTGGCTTCATGACCTGGGTAGTACATTACCCGTGTGCTATTTGTCGTCTTTACTGTACATCTGGCTTCATGATCCGGGTGCTGCATTACCTGTGTGCTATTTATCACCCTTACTGTACGTCTGGCTTCATGACCTGGGTAGTACATTACCCGTGTGCTATTTGTCATCTTTACTGTACATCTGGCTTCATGACCGGGTGCTGCTTTACCTGTGTGCTATTTGTCACCCTTACTATACGTCTGGCTTCATGACCTGGGTAGTGCATTACCCGTGTGCTATTTGTCATCTTTACTGTACATCTGGCTTCATGACCGGGTGCTGCTTTACCTGTGTGTTATTTGTCATTCTTACTGTACATTTGGCTTCATCCAATTATCTCTATGCTACTTGTTATCGAATACCCTTCCTTGTCACTGTTAACCCTGTTTATCACCTGTCATGCATATACACGTCTCACTTTGTTGTTCTCATTTCAGCTTGGTAACGGTGTAGGAATCAACATCAAAACGTCGTTTTATGCAACAAAGCAGAAGTTTGTATCAATTAAGTTGTACATTTTCTTACTTACTAACCAATTGCTAGAATTCAAATCAAACATCGCTGTGCTGAGAGTATTTGAGAATGACGTGAAAACTGCATATCTGTAAAAATTAAACGACGGCAAAAAAGGGTTAAACCCACAACAGTCAAATTTCACACTAAAAGTTCAATCATATACCTTCTTGACTATGTTCATATTGTAAGGCATTCACTTCATTAATTGCTAGTCTCTAATAGTTTTGCAAACCTATTGAATATGCGAATTAATTCAAACCGCCCGGGCAGCTAATTCGTTCACCGTGCGCAATGGTTCATTAGTACGTCTCGTCAGTCTGTAAATCTCCATAATGCGAAAATGATAACACAGTATGAAAACGTGTTCCTTTACGGTTGACATGGTGAAAATGAAGTATCTACCTCGAAACTAGTCAACGAAATCATTGATAAAGAATTGGTTAAGATGTATATCACTCCATTTTGCACATAATTTTAAACTATTAGGTTACCACTTTAATATCATGTCGGAAAATAATATTAATTAAATACATGTTTATATATAATGAATGAAATCATATCCATGAAATTACATATATTTTTTCATTCGATATGGGCCTAGGGAGAACGGAATGTTTTTATTACAATTATTCTCACCTGGTATTTCAGAGTTGCGTCCCTTCGGCAAGCCAGAAACCTATGATTGTGGGTTCGAATCCCGGTTCGCCCCGATTATGTTGCTAGGTTTGTCAGCACCATGAACCGTGCTCGTGGGTTTCACCGAAGTGGTAAACGTCCGAGACCTGCATCACTTCGGGCTTTCCTCCCACATTAAGCTGACACGTCGTGATATAACTTAAATACTGTTAAAAGCGGCGTTAAACCCAACTCACTCACTCACTCAAAACAACTTCGTACATGTCAAAATGGCGTCCAGGGGGTTCAGATCCATTTACACTCTCACTTTTGTTGTTTGTTGCGAGGTTGGTGAACAAATAGTCCTACAAATGATCTAAGCACGAATAAACAAAACACAAAACGGTAACTAATTCTGTTTGAACATACGCTAACCAAACACACCAAACACCAAGATGATCTATAAGAAATACACCTTACTATTATTGCATCAATGAAGCTAAAACTGCCAAGAGCTACTGACACAAAAGACGTTCAACTTGGTGTTTGGACAGGTTGTGCATTATACAATGTATTACATTTGACGAATCAGACGTCTTCAGCCAGTGTCAACACCAAGTACGGCGAATACTCAACAGTAATGTTAGGGATTTTGGACTTGAATATATACAGTGTTGTCCTCCACATGAAAGTGACCTGACTTGTCCTCATGTGAGCATCCTTATAGTTGATCCGTCACAGCCGGCGTGTTTGAAAAGCGGCATTGGCAGTTACGTTTAAGGGAAATATCATTCTGGATGCGGTGCCACTGCATGACCAGGCCACCTGTGCCCCCAGATTTGTGAATGAATGAAACATAGGATGTCCTAACTTCTCTTGCTCAAAGGTCCGGGTAATACTAAAGCATTCTTCACATTCACAAATCTTTAGAATAGATATCTACAGGGTAGTTTACAGGTATGACTATTGGTCTGGAAATCACTATTGCCATAACTATTGTTCTTGAAAGAAACTATTGTGATAACTGTTGATATTGCTAGCAACTATTGCGATAAATATCGATATTTTTCAGTGTATCATTTTAGATGGATTTTAAAGTTGAATTAAACCTTAGAACTGAAGTTTCCTTTGAATATGATAACCATAACAACAAATAATAAGTAAAGTTTGAGATATGACTGATTTGTTTTTTCTTTACCCTAATAATTTAAGAAAAAGAAACTTCCACATTACCATGTGTAAATTACTACCACTCATGATCAAAAGAAAAACAAATTTTAACATCGCATGTATTTTATTCATATGGTAAATACAATCGAAACTATCGCTATTCCTAACTGAATTAACAATCGATTTATTGACTTTGAGTAATTACCTACAGCAATATATCGGTATTTCGATTTATCGTGACACCCCTTGTAGTTTATTTGTAAGAATCATTCGGAACGCATATGTCAACACAAATTGAGGAATTGAGATGTGATAGAGACACAAACTAAACAATGATTGTTGATTGAAAACTTCAAAAATGAGGATTTTAGCTTCTCTCTCATTTCACATTTTTACCGTAATAAATCAAGTTGAGGCGTGACTTGTTTATTGATCCAAATTGGCATGAAAACGACTCCAATCTAATTGAAAGTATATATATTACAGTGCTTGGTCCAGCCAATTTGGGACCATGGATTATCCGATGGGAATAAGTGAGTGAGTTTGACTCAACGCACTTTTGAACATTATTATGTATGTGATCACAGCTACTTTTGCATAATTAAAAGCATATAACAGTGCGTGGGTTCGAACTTCGTATCCGCTCGTATAAGTGAGGGTTTATGGTTTAACGCCTCTTTGAACAGTGTAGCATTTGGGTTTCTTAACGTCGAATGACAGCCAGCAGTGACTCTGGACTCAGACGTTTACAGCTTTGTGAACACATGAGCATGGATAAAGTGCTGACAAACCTCGAAATATAATCACGGTGAACCGCATTTCAAACCCACGATCATAGGGTTCTTGCACGACCAAGGAAACAACTGTTCACACCGAATTGCGGGTATTTTTAGACACCTGTGCCGCCTGATGGTATAAAGTACTGTATATTTACATGTGTCGTTTTGGAATAATAGTACTGCATCGCTTAGTACAGCACACGATTGTGCACCAACCATTGACTTTTTAAGCCGTGCTGTTTCCTGTAGGTCAAAATATAGACCCGTCGTCGGCTTCAGTCGTTAAAACATACTACATAGGATTGACGTGGTATTCTTATTGGCTTTATTTGTCCTTTTCTGTCACACTGTCATGGCGATGACCAATGCAATTGCGCATTTCAACAGTATAAAAGAGCAGGTCGTGTTTCAGTCGCATCAGTTGACATTGGTAACCACCGAAGAAGTTTCTCTACTGGTTCGCAAGAAACTTGGACATCATGAGTTACTTCACCTGCCTCGCGGTATTCGTGTGTCTGGTGGCAAATGGTTGGACACAGTTTGCGGGACTGGTAAGTCTGAACATGGTACATAATATTGTTACCGGAAATAATTAACATTAACATTACATACCTTGAAAAACATATAAGCACTCTTAAAAGTATATTCCCAGTTTAAATAGCCATTTTTGAATGCGTGTTCTGTATAGGTTTTCTTAAAAAGACATTTGTCTTTGATTGCCCAGCTATATCTAAATACAGAAACCAAAATAGTTTATCTGATGACATGATTTGTAACAAGTCCATGTCAATAGTTATTTGATTATTCTCTTAGTTGTTTCCCCTGCTTTTGTTAACGTATCATGTGACTAAGTACTTGTGACCATATGGCAAAACGTTTTCTTGTACTAACGTTTCAGCGGATATATGTTGTAACGTATATAGATATTATTAAATGAGATCCATGTCATCAGTGAATATTCAGATACATGACAATAAAGACGGTAGATAAGGGATATGTGTATGGATAGTTGTGTTTTGTTACAAGAAACAATACGGTATACCCATTTTTTCGTAATTCATCGAATATTTTAAGGATTGTCACAACTGGGCATTATAGGCCAAAAGAGTTCCACCTCATCATCTCCGACTGACATATGTTTGAAACCATAAACATATCTTTTAATAGCCTTACCTCCAAGTACCTAAAAAGGTTCATAGAAAGTGAGCACTGAATAAGGATTCCAGATACATACAATAACTGGTACAGGTTTCGGACAGCAACTACAAGCGCGAGATTATTTTTTTTCACGAGCCGGCAATTACGAGTATGTTATGTAACTTTCAGGACGTCCTCAGTTTCTCCAACTTTAAATACATCCCTTTTGACATACACACTTCTGCAGAAAACATTTGAAAATTGAACCAGAACTCTTTGGAGTCTTTATTGACCAAAGAACATATTTATATTTCCTGTAGAAGCCATTACTCTGATTAGTTGTATACTGCTGATAAAAAATAAGGATGGTTGATTGGTTTGTTGTTTTACGCCGCACTAAGCAATATCCCAGCTATATGACGGCGGTCTGTAAATAATCGAGTCTGGACCAGACAATCCAGTGATTGATATCATGAGCATCGATTCACGCAATTGGGATCGATGCCACGCTTCAACCAAGTCAGCGAGTCTGACCACCCGATCCTGTTAGTCGCCTCTTACGACAAGCATAGTCGCCTTTTAGGGCAAGCATGGGTTGCTGAAGACCTATTCTACCCCGGATCACAAAAAATAAGGGAAGCGATGACATGACAATGAAGGTGTAATGACGATAAATGTCTTCTGGCGTGTAGATTAATATCTGGTGTGTCCACCATGTTGGGCGATACATGCACGACACCTCGATGGCATACTGTTGGTTAACTTGCATGTGGTTGGTATTCCCCACCATTCCGCCTGAAGAACTACCTCACACTTTCCACGTTGGGGGTGCTGTTTCTCTGGCGTACGCTCTCTGTCATAGTGAGTGAGTATTTATTTACGCCGCAATATGCCATACAATATGCCAGCAATCTCGCGGTGGGGGACATCCCATGTGGGGAATCGAACCCGGGTCTTCGGCGTGACGAGCGAACGCTTTAACCACTAGGCTGCCTCAAAGCCACCACTCCGCCATAGAACATCCCACAGATGCTCTATTGGGGACATGTCAGGGGATTAGCGGACCAGTGTAATGTCTGAATGCCTTTTCGTTTGAGATAAACGGTGACGATGATGTGGTCTTGCATTGTCATCTTGCAGTTCAAAATTTCTGCCGATATTTCTAACGAATGGAACAACGAAAGAACGCACAATGTAGTCAATGCTTCGCCTGTTAACTGTCCATTCACAATTACCACATCAGTTCGCCTGTCATGTGTGATACCGCCCCACACCATGGCACTACTGCCCCAAAGCACCGGACGGTTCAGAGTTACAATCGAATCTGATGTCAACAAATGGACGGTGGTCGCTGTTGGCACCGGAAGCCGGAGGCAACAACACAACACAACACAACACAACACGGGAGGCTACTACATGTGTAGGCCAAGGCTCGGACAATCCTTATTCAGACATCAAACAAACACAAAGACTAGTAGATGCAAAAGGATGGAAATATTCTCAAAGAAAATAGAGTTTCGCAAGGTGTTTCTGACGCTATCATAGATGGACTGTGGGTAACACACATTGGCAATCTTCTAAGCACATATAGCCCTACAGACTAGGACATGCACTGTTGTATTGTTTAAGCAGAGGACACATGCATACTCAGCTGTCCAATTACAGAACAAGAAATTTTATGTAGCCTCAAAAACTTACCTAACAATAAACTCCAGGACCAGATGGACTCGCTGCATATGCTTATCCAGCCGCTTACATTTATGTTAAATAACATTCTTAACGGTTGGCACTTCCCAAAATGCAGGCTCGTTGACTTGGTTGATACATGTCATCGATCCAAATTGCGTGAATCGATGCTCATGATATCAATCACTGGATTGTCTGGTTCAGTCTCGATTATTTACAGACCGCCGTCGTATAGCTGGAATATTGCTGAGTGCGGCGTAAAACAACAAACCAACCAACCAACCAACCCAAATTGCGGGGGTAAAAATATTGTATGCCTTTATTTAAATCTGTCAGTAAAACGGTACAGGGGTATATCACTGATTGAGATTCTCTTCAAACTATTTACTTCCATTTTGAATAAAAGGTTTCACATTTGGTGTGAAAAATATAATATAATAAGTGAGGCTCAGGCTGGTTTCAGAGCTGCTTACTCCACTGCAGATCACATGTTTACTTTACAGGCTTTCAACCAGAAGTACTGCTTTAGAAACGGGGGACATTTTACTGCCTCTTTATTGAATACACAATGTCACGGCCATGGGAGCCGTGCCAATTTACACTTGTCAGAGGGGTACTCAAAGTACGTGATCTAGACTACCAATTGTCGGACTTTCATTTTTTTGGAAGCCTCGGTGGCTGAGTGGGTTAGATCGCTGACTATGTGTGCTGGCGATAAGGTGCCTCACTCTGGCAAGTGTGGGTTCGAATCCCGGACGGGACTCAACCCGAAAAAGTACGAGAATCTGTACTTTACTAAGAAAGTGTTATTCCAAATATAACATTTGTTACATGCCTCTTTATTGATTTTACTAAGGCATTTGACACACTGAGACATGCTGTTCTCCTAACATAATGCTGGTATCTCTGGCAAGTTTAATAATATAAATGCTTCAATGTATTCTCATTTAACCAATGATAGAACCAAATGTGGACTCTCAGCTTGTTTGAATTGTTCTACTGGTACCCGCCACGGCTGCATCTTGAGTTCACAGATGTTTGTCATATTTATTAATGAGCTTTATAAGAAAATGGAAAAAGGTGGGGGACAAGGAATTTTCATAAATCAATTCTTCGCAAACTTATGTGCACTAATGTTTGCTGGTGATATTTCTGCTGTTTCTGACACTTGTGATTTACTCCAAAAGAAGGTAAATGTTTTGGAACACTTTTGTAATGATGCAGGAATGAAAGTAAATTTAACTAGAATTATTGTCTTTAGAAATTGTGGCCCCTTACGCCGAAATGAGAAATTGTTTTATAATAGTAGTCAGGCAAATACTCTTTCAGTATGATTCCCGCTCGCCGCTACATCGCCAACAAATTTTTCTACCATCAGTGAGTCGAAGGCAAAACCTTGATTCGTCTGTTAACATGATGTACTGCCACCGGCACACAGCCCGTCCCTGGTATTGCCAAGTCCACCCCAATCTTTGCCGTCTATGGTAAGCTGTTGGGGTCACATCCTTCACAGGACGCCTTGCTTTCAGGCGGGCTGCATTGAGCCGTTTTTTAACGGTAGATGTTGAAATTCGCCTTCCTGTTATTGTACGGAATTTTTTAATGATAACAGGAGCAGATTTAAATCTCTTGTGTAGTGAAATTTATGTAAAGCGACGATCTTGTCTAGATGTTGTTTTTGGGCATGCCATGCCCAGGTCTCATTGCACCCCCACCCGTTTGACGGTACTGATCCCACAGTCGCGAAGGTACACTTACTGATTGGCCAAACATTCGGGCAATATTGATATTGACGTCCCACCCCTTACCCCCTACCATCACCCCACACCCCACACTATCGTACCCACAATTCGCCAATTTGTTTGTTCATTGACATACTGTCTCGGAGGCAGTTTGAAGCGTGTGCTTAGCTCAGTTGCACTGGTGATTATCAGTTCCCTGACACAAGCAAATAAGCTGAATCTCAACAAAGAGAAAACTTCTGGGATCCTTACTGACACTCGTTCAAAACTTGATCGATCCTGAATAGTGAGTGAGTTGGGTTCAACGCCGCTTTTAACAGTATTCCAGTTATATCGCGGCGTGTCAGCTTAATGTGGGAGGAAAGCCCGGAGTGATGCAGGTCTCAGACGTTTACCACTTCGGTGACATCCACGAGCACGGGTATGGTGCTGACAAGCCTAGAAACATAATCGGGGCGAACCGGGATTCGAACCCACAATCCTAGGTTTCTGGCATGCCCAAGGGACGCAACTCCGCACAGCGAACGACTTAGACGCCTTAGACGACTGGGCCACCCGTGCCCCCTCAATCCGGAATAACATCCATCAATGATGGGGGTCACCAACAATTGATGTCTCAGGCTCTGTAAACAATCTTGAAGTCGCCCTTGACAGAGAGTTGACACAAGAAAACCAAGTTGATAAACTTTGCAAAGTTTGTTACCTCAACATCAGAAACATCATTACCAAAAGCACTTGTTTTGTCACGTATCCTAATGTAACAGCCTCCTCGTCGGAATGCCCAAATTTGTTATAACAAAGTTCCAACACATTCAGAATTGTGTCCCTCACCCCAAGCACTAAGTATGTGACCTCAGTCCCTTAGAGCTTGCACTGGTTGCCTGTGGAGTTCAGAATGTGATGACTTGTGAAGATCCGGGTCAGAATAGGTCTTCAGCAACCCATGATTGCCGTAAAAGGCGACTATTCTTGTCGTAAGAGGCGACTAACGGGATCGGTTGGTCAGGCTCGCTGGCTTGGTTAATGCATGTCATCGATCCCAATTGCGTTGATCGATGCTCATGTAATCAAATACTGGATTGTCAGGCCCAGACTCAATTATTTACAGACCGCCACCATACAGCTGAAATGTTGCTGAGTGTAGCGTAAAACAACAAACCAACCAACCTTATTTTTTGTCAGCAGTACATACAACTAATCACAGTAATGGCTTCTGCGGGAAATATAAATATGTCGTATATATGCTGGAATATTGCTGAGTGCGGCGTTAAACAACAAACAAACAAGCAAATCAGAATCAATTTCATGATCCTCTGCCACACCCACCAATCAATGTTGGTATGCACCACAATATCTGTCCATCATGATTGATACAATCCTGCCAGATGACTCAGATCACAAGACAACAGCTGTTCGATATGATAAGCGTTCTTTTTCCGATCAGGCAACTGTGGAGTGGAACAAGTTGCTTCAGGACATAAAATATCTTCTTCACTACAATCTCTCAAATCGCAACTGAAGACTTATCTATCGAGGCAAGCATACTGTAAATAGCTCATCCAAGCCTACATGGGCGCTTAGAGAATGCATATTAATAAGTACAGGACTATATTAAGTTTTATTTTCACAGCAGCGTTAAATAACATAAAGAACGCTTGTTTCAGGAGGGGTCCATAAAGGTGGAGTGGTTGCGGGTAGTGAACCCCACCCTTAATGTCACCGACAAAGCGTACATCTGGGAAGCGGACTTTGGCATGAGCTACAGCTCGAAGAGCAAGGAGTTGAACGCAGCTGGTATAACGAGGAGCCGCTCCCACACGGAATTCAACATGGTAGGGCGGTGTTTTCATTACCACACTATCAAATATGTGGAATAAGATTTAGATGCTAAAAGTAATTTGTTCTTAGCTTTGACTAGTTTCTATAATTCCAAACTTAACAAAAGAGGAAAGGGAATCAACCCTTTGACTTTTTTTCTGAAACAGTTTTCTTTAATTCTATTTTTCTTCATTTCCCACAACCAACAATAATTTTAGTTGACCACTTAAAGAGAAAAAAATGTTTGCTAAATTTAATTTGGAGCCGAGAGCGCAGCGTTAATTTCTTCAAAACTTTGCCCCGATTCCGTGGAAGAATGCCCAGTATCCAGTTCTTGTCATGTGAGCCGGTTAATGAGGAATGGTCGCATTGTGTGACCTGGCAGATTGTATGTCGCCGTACGCCGACGTTGTGTATCTTGTCTCGTTTCTCGTGTGTCTGGCTCACACAAGATTGTCCTGATAGCGAGAGGTCCGGGGTTCGATGCCCGGCCGCGTCTTACCAAAAGATGTCTAATGATGGTACTTGCTGTTACCGTACCTTGCGCTCGGCATTTAGGCGCTAAAACAAGTACTTGTCGGTTCGGAGTCGGTATAATGTGTACTGTATACTGTGTCTAAGTGGGGTGTTCATATTGAACTGCGGCATGGTATATCTCTGTGGGCTAGCACTATAAAATTAGCATTAGTCCGGACTAGTACAATCACGCACGCACGCACGCACGCACGAACACACACACGTCGCTATATAAGTGCAAGAATCTTGCACGCGGCCATTTAGCCCAATTTCACCTCACCTCACTTCACCTCACTTACCTGTTCTCGATTATTGACCAATCTCCACGATGAAGTTGGAATAAACTGTCACGTTCACATCCACATGTTCACTCACCGAATGTGACACATCTCTCCCAATAGATAAATGGTAAATAACCCATATATTATTTACTTTCAGGCGAAGATCGCAACAAAGCTTCGAAGGGATGTTGGTAAAACGTGCTTCCTCCTCGACGTCTCACCCGCCCTCATCGGTACCTTCAGTGCAACAAGCACCGCTTTGCAGGCACTCGTAAGTAATGGGCACACTCAGATACAGCTTGGGTGGGGTGGGGGAGAGAGTGGGTCTGCACAGCAGTTTGGAAAGTGTGTGTGTGTGTGTGTGTGTGTGTGTGTGTGTGTGTGTGGAGGGAGAGGGTGGGGGATGGGGGTGGGGGTGGGAGTGGGGGGTGAGCCCAATTTAATATAAATGTTTGTGAATGGAAAACGTTTGTCAATTAATTAGGTTTTGTTGAACAAATAAAGAATCTCACCCTCATGTCTTTTGATATCAAATATATCAACACAAGTTGATAAAAGTGGAAATTTTTGCCACTTTTATCAACGAGTGTTGATATCAAAAGACATGAGGGTGAGATTTCATTTATCATCCAACATGATTCTTTCAACTTTTTAAATTTGTAGACAGTAATTAGCAGCGGCTTCAGTGTAAAAAGTACTGCTAACAACTTCAGTAGCAGAGCCATAGGTGATGTCATTTGATTGTGACGTCATGGTAACAGTGACGTCACAATGGTCTGCAAAGCATTGTGATGTAATTTCATTGCAGGGATATCTACAGTGTAGATATTGCTTGATCTCATCCAAGCGATATCTCCTGTGGCAGCCAGTTTTGGATGATAAAAGAATGTTCTTTTATGCTTAACAATACTACAAAAAGAGAGTACCCTCATCGGTGCAATGTGTGAAGCCCATTCCTGGTGTCCCCCGTCATGATATTGCTGGAATATTGCCAAAAGCGGCGTAAAACACTGCTCACTCACTCACTCAATAAGAGAGGGGGTATCCGAAACGCCCCCGCGCACACCCCTACCCCAATACAAATCCCTAGTCTCTCCTGCCTTCCAAGACTCGTTGAGGACACCCAATTTTGTTATTCAAGTGTTCAGGGGTACATATTTCGCTCGTCATACTACTGTAACAGATCCAGGTTCGATTCTCGGCTCGGGTATAATGTGTGAAGGCCTCGCTATGATATTGCGGCAATAACGATACTCCTAACTGCCTAAAACTCACAAGTAAGGATTGGTCCCCAGCAACATATGCTGGTCGCAATGGCTTCGGTGACTTGGTTGTTTGCGTGTCTTCACACCCGACATCGTTGATCGTTGCTCCTAATATCCATCACTGGAATGTCTGGTCCAGACTTGATTATTTTCAGACCACTGTCATATATCTGGAATATAGTGCGGCGTTAAACAACAAGCAATCAAAACACTCACTGTTGGGTATTTCAGAACAGAAACTGTTTTATAATGCTGTGTTCGTAACAACTACATATAGTCTGTCTTGATTTTGACGACAATAACGTGTTTCCATATCGGGAGAAAAAATATTTTCTGAAACGATTTCTCACAAATCTATTTTTTTTCAAAAGCCTGAAAATATTGAAAGAATACGTCATCTGTCTTCGACATGAATTTGGAATATAAGCTATTCGTTTTATTATGACTTCAGACAGTGTTAAACACGACTGTGGAGAAAAGCTACCAAACAGCTGGAGCTATCATGGACGCAGCCAGTCAAAGTGCTTTCGATTTGAAACATCCCTTCATTCAAAAGCAGTGTTCCCGCTCAGGCTACAACTACGTGGCGACCACCGAAATGGCGGCAGGTACGAGTGCTGTGTTTTATTTATGTACTTTTGTGTTATATTGTATTGTTCTGTGAATAGGTGCTTTTGAATAGTTTGAAACTATGATGATGTAGACTGTTGTAGTTGTTAATTATGTTGATTTACTGATTTGTATTTAATGATGTTGTTTTTGTTGATGAGATTTAATGATGATGATGATGATTATTGACGATGTTCCAGGAGCCCCTCCCCCAGCTGCAAGTGATAAGTTCACTTATCTCACCTCGTGGGGGACTGTGCATCTCTACATCCTTCGGTCAACTGGTCTTGTGACAACCACCACTGCCACCCCTCCTTAAAAGTTGTCCACATCATCTTGTATCTCTCCAGAATAAAGTAACATGATCGCACAGATGTATTTATTTTGTACCATTCTTTGATAGGAGGCAGTGCCCGAGTCGATGTGTTGTGCATTTGACAACATATAACGTAAACGCCAGATGTTAACCAATCTCGATTATTCATCTTCCCGAGGCAAGGGAGTTAACTGACTATACAAGTCCAGTTTCTACGCTTGCGGAAAAAGGCTGGAATTTCGTGGCTCGATCGCAGCAGTAGCAATGGCTGTTACGAGTTAAGTCCCCTCTACATGTACGTTCCTCCTATTGACCAATCAGTTTCCACCACTCATATCACTTGTATTTGCTTCATATAAAATGGCGGTGCCCAGTAAAAACGATCTGTGCGCGAAATACGCATGTGTCGGAAAGTGCACGTTAAATTCCTAATTTAAGTAAGTAAAGACGATCTGATTGATAGTCAAGATCTATATTGCAATAAAACGTATCTATCCTCGCGAAGTGCAAGAAATCACTCGAGCAGTTTGATTTAAAATATGAAAAGATTTGGAAAATATTTGTCGACGACGAAATCTGCCCGTTGAAATACATGAGTTTTACGGAAAGGATGTCTACTTCGTTACGCTATTTTGATTGGACCATGCATAGACTCGTTAGTCCAGTCACACTGTAACCCTGGAATTCCAGCCTAGTTCGACAAGGGTGGAAACTGGACTTTTAGAGTCAGTTAACACACTTGCCTCGGGAATATGCGATTATTCGAAGAAACAGATTCTGTCGGGTGTAAAAGGCAAAACTGATTTGAACATTATATGAATAGTTCATTGAAAATCAAGGTGAAAAAGGAGAAGTATGTCCTGCCCTACCGGTAGCACCCACAATTCACACAACTTGCAATGTCCAATACAAATGCTGTTGGACGAGTAAGTGGCGTGAGATGAGTGACTGAGTGATATGAGATGAGTGACTGTGTGATGCGAGGTGTGTGATGTTTTTGTTTGTTTGTTTTTTAACGCCACACCCAGCAATATTCCATCGAAATGACGGCGGTCTGTAAATAATCGAGTCGGGGCCAGACAATCTAGTGATTGATATCGTGAGTATCGATCCACACAACTGGGATCAGATGACATGCACCAACGAAATCAGCGAAACTGACCATCCGATCCCGTTAGTCGCCTCTTACGACAAACATGGATCGTTGAAGAACCTTTGAAGACCCTGGTTAGAATAAGTCTTCAGCAACCGATGCTTGTCGTAAATAGGCGACTGACGGGGACCGGGTGGTAAGTCTCGGTGACTTGGTTGATGTATGCCCTCGTATGCGGTGTTAAACAACAAACAATCGATTTTAACCCGACCGAATCATAGGTGTGTGATGTAAGATGAAGGTTTGTAGGGAGTGATGAATGACTTAGTTAGGTGAGATCAGTGACCCTGTGAACTGGCACTGTGTGATGGGAGATAAATGACTGAATAAGGTGAGACAAGTGACTGAGTGATGTGAGACGTGTGACGTGAGACGGGTGACCGAGTGACGTGAGACGAGTGACCGAGTGACGTGAGACGAGTGACTGAGTGACGTGAGACGTGTGACGTGAGACGAGTGACTGAGTGACGTGCGACGAGTGACTGAGTGATGTGAGACGGGTGACGTGAGACGAGTGACTGAGTGACGTGCGACGAGTGACTGAGTGACGTGAGACGGGTGACCGAGTGACGTGAGACGTGTGACGTGCGACGAGTGACTGAGTGATGTGAGACGTGTGAATTGAGACGAGTGACTGAGTGACGTGCGACGAGTGACTGAGTGACGTGAGACGAGTGACTGAATGATATGAGATGAATGACCGAAACGTGTAAGATGAGTGAGGCTGTGACGTGAGACGAGTGACTGAGTGACGTGAGACGAGTACCTGAGTGACGTCAGACGAGTACCTGAGTGCCGTGAGAAGAGTACCTGAGTGAAGTGAGACGAGTGACTGAATGATATCAGATGAATGACCGAAACGTGTAAGATGAGTGAGGCTGTGACGTGAGACGAGTGACTTAGTGACGTGAGACGAGTACCTGAGCGACGTGAGACGAGTACCTGAGTGCCGTGAGAAGAGTACCTGAGTGACGTGAGAAGAGTACCTGAGTGACATGAGACGAGTGACTGAATGATATCAGATGAATGACCGAAACGTGTAAGATGAGTGAGGCTGTGGCGTGAGACGAGTGACTTAGTGGCGTGAGACGAGTACCTGAGTGCCGTGAGAAGAGTACCTGAGTGACGTGAGACGAGTGACTTAGTGACGTGAGACGAGTACCTGAGTGACGTGAGACGAGTACCTGAGTGACGTGAGACGAGTACCTGAGCATTTAATAAAGGCTTGGGGTGATCAGGATGGTCTTTACTAACATAATTTTAACCTGACATATATGCCCCCTTCTGGCACAGCAATTGCGTGTTGTGTAAGGACATATATACTGAACCGCAAAAGAAACGTCACCATGGATAGATACATAAGAAACCTTATTTGTCCAAACAGTGTAAACATACTTTGAGACATATTAAAAAGATGCAACTCGGCAAAACTGATCATCAAGGTTGAAATTAAAGTGTCAAATGGTCTTTAAGTGAAACACAACACTGGTCTCTGAGAAAATGGCATCACAAGTCAGTATCTCGTGTGTCCGCAATGTGCATTGATGACTGCCGTGCAACGTCGATAAATGGAATGGATGAGGCGGTTGATGAAGGCCATAGGGACTTGAGCCCACACTCTGGGGAACTCCTGACGCAGTTCAGCTGCAGTTGTCGGCCTTGGTCGGACGTCATTCAGCCGTCTTTGAATCTCGTCCCAGAGTTGCTCAATGGGATTTAAAACGCTGAGGGCATGGTTCTGATGCCATTCTGCTTGATGAAGTCTCTTGTTGCTCTCTTAGGGTGGGCACGGGCGTTATCATGCGACGTGCCAAATGAGGTATGGCGTGTATGATCAATGTACCGAGCTGCTGTGACGCCATTGCCTCTCCCTGGACCGATGTTCTGGAAGACCTCAGAGCCGACCCTCTGTGCAAGACCAATTCCACCCCACACCATGATGCTCGGACCACCCCACGAGTCTCCCTCAACAACACAAGAACCCGAATAACATTCCCCACGGCGTCGCGAGACTCTCTCTCTCTCTCTCTCTGCCATCTGCTGTTGCGATACAGTAACGGCTCTCGTTTGAGAAGAGGACTCTTCTCCACTGCTGGTGGAACTAATGCTGGTGCTGTGATGCACACTGAAGACGGTCCCGGCGATGACGTGGTGTCAGAATGAGTCCTCGGATTTGGCCTGTGACAGTGAAGGTGTCTGCTCATCAATCGTCGACGCACGGAGTCCGCAATAATGTGTCGCTGGTGTGTCCCCTGTTCTGTCGAGCAGTTTCCGCAGCAGTAACAAAGCGATCTTGAAGATGCTGTCGCACAATCTGACGATCCTGGCGTCGGGTGGTGACCCTTGGTCTTCCACTTCGTGGTCGGTCATCTGTTGTGTTGGTGGTCTGGTACCGTTGCTGGAGCCTGTGTATGGTCCTTACAGGGACTTGAAATGCATTGACTACTTGCCGGGCGGTTTGTCCAGCTTACAATCGTCCAAGGGCTTGGTGTCGATTTCTTGTCAATCTTGGCATGTGGTAGCAATTCAATAACGAATAAATGTTTTCCGAGCTGGGTGGATTTTTATAGGGCAAGAAATGGGGGAACACATGTGCATTTCAATTTGCAGGGAACTCACGTGCATCGGGTTACCATGGCCGTTGCCGTGATGCGTTTGGGGGATCGGTCTTATTGTCATCTGCTTTTTTTTACGTCAAATTTCATTTTTCCGGACAAGGTAATGTTAAATTTTAGAAACTTTGACAAAACTTACCCAGATATTTAAATGACAACTGTTCATGCAATGCTACTTGGGGGGACGTTTCTTTTACAGTCTGTATATGTCCAAATTGTATCCACTGGGTTAAGCACTACTTACATTCTTACTTATGTTCTTTGTATGAGGCGGATTAACAAATAGCCTCCAAGTAATGTAATCACAAATACGCAGCACAGAACTTTAAATATATCCGCTTGATCATACGCTCGTACATTAACCAAACCCTTTAAGATAATCTGTAAGAACTAATTAATTACAAAAACTGTCTTGAAACTAAAACTGTTGTGGATTTTGGACAGGTTTCTAACGACGTGCATTATATTACATTTGAATAATCTAACGTCTAAAGTCTGAGTCAAGTACCACGAAGTACGGCGAATAATCTGCACTCGTGTAAGATTTTGGTCTTTAATTAATAGTTTCGTTTTCGCATGAAAGCTACATAACGTGACCTGATGTGGACGTCCTTACAGCTGATCTGTGACATCCAACATGTTTGTTCCTAGATAAAACGCAGTTGCTGTGCCAGAGGGACATATACGAACACAAAACGCAGTTGCCATGGCTGATGGACATTAATGTCCTATAAAATGCAGTTGCTGCATCAGATGGACGTTTATGTATTTCGGAAACATCAGGTTAAAATAACTGAAATAAAAACACATTTTGTTTACCTCAAAAGCCATTTCAAATCAAGCCTGGCTAAAAATATGAAATTTCATGAATATGAACTTATTCATATATTATAAACATCTTTTTCTTTTTCAATTTCACATAGGTAATCGGAAATATGTTTTGTGTAAGTAACTTTCGAAGGTCGTCGTTTAATTTCGGATTATGTGATGTAATATTGTTATATTATTCTAGCATTTCTCTGAGTAAGAGTCACTGTTACAGTACATCAGTTGAAGCAGTGTACCTTTTTTGCCAAACTGTCGGATTCGGCGGATCATGCTAGTTTATTTGTTGTCTGACATGGTCTGGTCTAATAAAAACGCATATAAAATGCCAAGCGTGAACGTCTATGTGGTAGGAAAAACATTGCACCGTCAGAAAAATCATTCGACGGACTTTTTATACTTTAGACGGAATACGAGCGAACCCATTTTCAATTGTCTAGATCTATCTTTCCGTATTGTTCGGAAGCGTGAAAGATGTATACAAAAGCAATGTTTGTGATTTCATGCACTAAGACAATAGTTCAGCAAATTCTACTAACTTAATTAGTAACATTGGCCCGCAGATAAGAAAACAGCGACTGCACGTGGGAGTTGCGGAGAGAAGAGATGTCCTATAGTCCTATATTCGGCTTTGAGACCACGTGACACTCCTCACTTCCGCTTTGGTCAGTGTCACGCTCGCCATTCTGAGACAAGTAGATCATATCGAGTTTTTAGTATATATTGTATTCGTGACATTTTTAATGTAATTTTTTCATGACTGACAATATTTAGAACATTAGAGTACAGTCTCAATGAAGATTTCTTAAGTTTGCAAGTGTAAAGCCATATGTGTTTATTCTATTTACATGTCAATTACTTGTTCGTAGTATTGTATTAAACGAGAGACGAAAATCGAAATTACGAGAAAATAATCGAAGTGACGAGAAAAACTCGAAGACACGAGAAAGAACTCGAAATTTCGGGAAAATAATAGAAGTTTAGTTTAAGTTTAAATTTAGATTTAGGAAAAATAAAATTATGCCAACAAAGGGGCACCATTAGGCTTCCTTATAATTGAACACTTCATACATGAAGCTTTTTTCTTTTCTTTTTTCATTTTAATGTTTAACTTCAGCAAGACATGTTGAGTGTTTATCCCAATTCGCGTGAAAACGACTGAAAGCTTCCCTGGTTTGATGTGATTAATGTCAGACTACAATCTGGTCAACCCGCACAGTCATTTGGCCCACATGATCTTATATTAATTGATATTGTACATTCATTAATAATGTAACAATGTCTGATCCAGCAAATATGGGACCATGGAATCAGTACGTCTCCGTGTAAATTAGTGAATAAGAATTAACGCCTCTTTGAACAGTATTCATTTGCATTGCTAATGTCGGTGATTTAGGACTTGACTGACGGACACACGATACGGTGCTGACAAACCTGGAAACATAATCAAGCGCGACCGGGAATCGAACTCATGATCATAGGTTTCTTGCATGCCCAAGGGACGCAACTCTGAGCATCGAACTGTGTATTTTTATAAACGCCTGGGCCGCTAGATCGTATAAAGTTGTTCGTAATTACTGATCTGTTTGAATTGTTATACATATGGTGTATTATGTCATCAATTACTGAAATTTATATTAATGTTATCAAGCTGCCAAAAGTTTGAAAATATATACGTTTCATAAGTTGCATGAGATGAATCATGTATTACTTTATGTTACTGATGTTTCCAAGTGAATCTTATGAAATACGTTTATTTATGTATTCAACATCCCGGTCACGTGTGCAAACATCTGGCACACATCATTTGTCAGCAAGATTTAGGGTTCCGTTATGTTTAGCATAAGTTTGTTCACCAACCTACGCTGAATCTATGAGCCGTGCTATGTCCTGTAGGTCAAAATATAGACCAGTTGTCGTTAAAAAATAAAACATAGGAATTATTTCAAATGAAATTCTTGTGGTTTTAGTTGCTCTTGTCTGTCACATTTCCAATGACATTCATGGCAAGGATTAAATCAGTGACGCATTTAAACACTATAAAAGAGCAGTCCATGTTGTGTCACATCAGTTGTCATCGACAACCACTTGAGAAGTTCTGAGTTTATCTACCGGTTGGAAAAACGCTTTGACATCATGAGTTACGTTCCCTGCCTCGCGGTATTCGTGTGTCTGGTGGCAAATGGCTGTACACAGTGGGCGGGACTGGTAAGTCTTAGCGTGCAAGATAATGCAGAGTATACTGAAGGAGATGAGGTGTGGTGAAATGGGGTTTAACGACGTGTCCAAGATTATTGCAATTATATAGCGACATGCATGCACGTGTGTGTGGCTGCTTGTACTAGTCCGAGCTGATGTCGATTTATAGTGCTAGCTCACTGAGATACCATTAGTGGTGTAACGATACGGCGATACAGTATTGTATCCCGATGCACAGCCCACGATACGATGCATCGATTTGGAAAGCATATATCGCATGTATTTTCATAACAGCAGTTATACCTACCGTATTTTCTTGAGTATAGTGCGCACTTTTTTCCTAAAAAACACAGCTGTGTAGAAGGGGTTGCTCATTGTACACGAATTAATGAGTTTTGATGTTTTTCCCCCATGGAAAGACATTACCGTGAGCACGTAACCCCGGAAATACCATGTCAACAAATCCATACTGAAGTTCGCAAATTATTCATGTAATTACACTGTCTGGCTATAAAAAAAGTGTTCTTTGAATATCTGGACTCATGTTTGTAACTTATTTCATTAATTTTATTCAAAATTCCTTTTAATATTGTTATAATTAATTTCGGCGAAATCGTGTGTGAAGCGATCGGAAGATCGCACAACTCACCGTTATTAACAGCAACCCCCGGTCAGATTACCGCTATTGACGCCTTGAAAGGAATTTTAGTTGACAGAGAATGGATACATATATCATAAATGCCATACTTTGATTCGTTAAAAGTCAGATTTGTTTTTGTTGGACGATTATATGTCAACACATAATTCTCGCGATCACGCGATCACGTGCACGGGAGCCTTAACGGTGTCTGGTCAGACTGGTTCCATGTAAAAAATAATACCCGGCAATAGCGATCAGCTGCTTCGCTTAGGGTTATTATTATTTTAAATATGTTTAGTAAAAGCTGCATCTAAATTAACAATATATTGGAATATATTATTCCTGATAAAAAAATAGTTTTAGATACAACTTTTGCCGATCCTTGCATTAAAATACTGTAAAGTTATATCATTGGGTGTGTCTTGCCCGAATCACCGGTAGATTCCAAGAAAACGTGTGTACATGTACAGCTGATTGCTGTGTCCGGCTTAGTTTACGAGAAAATACACAAGGTAATCTTAATCCCTGGATATAAAACAATGCCTAGCTGAACAAAAAATACAATTTAAACGGTAAATCAACATGTCTGGTGATTTTTTATCTCAAATTTCGAATTTGTACTAACGAAGTTTCTCATCACCCGTTCGTTTGCCGGACTTCGCTGAAGGGGTACGGTGTAATTTTTTTCTGCGCATAATATTCATATTTCTTTTTTTCCAAAATATTGAACCCGCTAGAGGGGCGTGCGCATTATACATCGGTGCGCACTATACTCAAGAAAATAGATGAAATACATGGGCGGATACAGCTTTTTTGAAAAGGGGGGGTGCACAATTAAGATCTATTTATTATTGTCTTTGGTGGTAATTTATACAGAAATAAAGATTTTTTTCTAAATAGAAAGGTGTGTGTGTGTTGGGGTGGGTGGGGGTGGGGTGTGTGTGCGCCCATGAAATACTTTAACAGTTTCAAAGCCAGTTTGTTGTTTCAGTAAAACATACTGTATTGCTGACAATTTACTATAACAGTAAATAAACACCTTATATCTTCTTCAACTGTACTTGTCACATATTTTAGATAGCAGAAAGACAGCAACTTGGCTTAGCTTGTACCAGTAAACACTGTATCGTGATACGTATCGTATCGCGACCCCTGTATCGGGATACGTATCGTATCGCGACCCTCCCGTATCGTTACACCTCTAGATACCATGCCGCAGTTTAACATGAATACTCCACTCAGACACAGTTTACTGACCGACCAGTCGTTGTTTTAGCCCCTTAATGCCGAGGGCCAGACAGGGTAACAACAAGTACCATTTTTTAACGTTGTTTGGTATGTCGCGGTCGGGGATTGAACGCCGGACCTGCCGCTCTCTGGGCGGATGCTCTACCACTAGACCACGGAGGCGGTCGTATACTGAAGGATTTTTTTGGTTTGTTGTTTAACGCCGCACTCAGCAATATTCCAGCTATATGACGGCGGTCTGTAAATAATCGAGTCTGGACCAGACAATCCAGTGATTAATATAATGAGCATGTCTTCGTGACGGCGTGTTTAGCTTGCCTGTCACAGACACAACTATATACAGACTGCTGTGGGTATGGCTGTTTATATCTCAAAGAATTGTTATATCTGTCCAAACGTGTAAATTACGTGAAACATTATCACCTAAATCTATATCCACTCTGAAACATCTGTCCAGATTAATTGTACATTTATATACATTAATTATGTTGAAGTGGCTACATCACTTATTGGTCGGTGTATGGCTGAAATAATGCCGATGTGACGTGTAACTCACTCACTCATTAAAGCATGTTACTATCTTCATCCTCATTGAATACATAGTATATGTTGTATAGAGAGAGTGTTAAAAGTGGAAAAAGCCCTGAGGCTTGCCAAGGCGATTTTCCACTTTTATCAACGAGTGTTGATATACTTGATATCAAAAGACACGAGGGTGAGATTTAATTTATCATCAAACATCACTCTTTCAACTTTTACAGTTTGTGGACATTAATAAGCAGTGTCTTAAGTGTAACAAGTACTGCTAACAGCTTCAGTACCAGAGCCATTAGTGGTAACCCATGACGTCACAATGGTCTCCAAAGCATTGTGATGCCATTTCATTGCAGCGATATCTACAATGTAGATATCACTTGATCTCACCCAAACGCCATCTTCTGTGGGAGTCAGTTTTGGGTGGTAAACTCTTGTAGCACCGTTGGTGGTTATTCGGAGAAATAAACTGATGCCAACGGTGTAAACTAACACTTACGTAAAATAACCTTGTTTCAGGAAGGTGCCATAAGGGCGAAGTGGTTGCGGGTAGTGAGCGACACGCTTAATGTCACCCAGAGTGCGTACATATGGAATGCTGACTCCGGCATCAGCTTTAGCTCCAGAAGCAGGGAGCTGGTCGGAACTGGCATCGCTAGGAGCCGCACCTACACAGATTACAGCAGTGTAAGGCGTTGGTTTTAATTACCAAAAATTCAAAGAAGTGAAATAAGATTAAATACATAACAGTTTTTGTTGTTGTTTGTATTCTTACCGACGATTCTTTTAGCTCATCTTATTTGATTCTAAACTTCAATGTGAAACAGTAAGGAAAGGGAATCAAGCCTTTGACGTTTTTCCAAAAGAATTTTTGTTGATTCCTTTTTTTTTTTACTTCAACTGTTACGTGTCGAATTCAAAATTAAAACAATACGCTAACACAGAAATCTATGCGTATAAGTATTCAATGTAAAACCAACAAACAATAAGGAAATGACATATAATTGTATATTAAAATTAAATAGGTTTACAAATCAATACAAATTACTACAAATGCCGTACACAATAGAGTGGAAGTACAAAAATCAATGGCAGTAGATTAACAATGGCACCATTAAATACGATAGTAGTGGTGAAAGAAGAAATTCAGTGATAGTAATATTCGGCTAGTAGCAACAGTGGTCAAGCTTACAAAATAGATATCCAGGGTATAAATACTATCTTCAGACAACAGCTGGTCTTGATGTAATATGACATGTAATGTCAGATGATAGAGACATGCTCGTGCCCCATAATATTGTCTAAAACCTCCTGGAAGGTTCTGTACAATGTTGGATTACTCCAGCTGTTCTAGAACATTCTAGGTTACATCTAACTCCAAAAAGCGTCTAAATATAGTAACTTCCACACCACTGCTTACATTAAATAGTGCCACATTCCAGACAACCAATTATTGTCAAAACATAATGCTATGAACTTCTGCTGAATCTCAGCAGAATCAATATAGTAAAATTGCACACTGATTAACAATAAATTACACTGCAGTATAACACCACGAACTGACAATACGGTCAGTAGATCACTTAAAGATTAGGAACAAATTATTTGCTATACTGAATTTGGATCAGAGGGCGCAGCGTGTCCTGATTTCGTGAAGAGTATCCCCAGTTCAATTCTTGTGGTATGAGCCAACCAGTGAAGATAAATTGTTATTTAGTTCGTTGTGTATCGTTTCACTCGATTATTAATGTTGCTGGAATATACTGTCACGGTCACAACTATATGTTCACTCATTGAATGTGACACGTCTCTCCCAATACCTAATCTGTAGGTAAACCATCTTCTTTTTGTTATTTATTTTCAGGCTAAGGTGGCAGCAAAGCTTCAAAGGGATGTTGGTAGAACGTGCTTCCTTCTCGACGTCGTCCCTGCCCTTATCGGTACCTTCAGTGCAACAAGCACCGCTTTGCAGGCGCTTGTAAGTAATGGCCACACTCGGATACAGCTTGGTGGAAAAGTGTTTGGGTGGGGCAGATTGTGTAGAGTAGCAGCTGTTTGGAAAATGGGTTGCGTTTAAAATAAAACAGGTGTGAGGGTGAAACATTAGTCAGTTGTTTTTGCAAACATGATTTAGTTCGATGTTTTTTTATGCTACAGAAAGAAGCCCCCCACTCCCATCTGAAATATGTTACCCATAACTCACTCACTCACTCACTCAGTCACTCACTCACTCGTGATGGAACGGGTGTTGATGTTCAATGTCAAGGTTTCATTGCGGGTCTTCGTATTGTATGGTCTAGTTTATTTTCAGGCCTCTGTTGTATGGCTGAAATATAGCGCGACGTTACCTGTAACACTCACTGACAAGTATTTCCTGACTTAAAAAGTTTTTTTTATAATGTTGTGTTCGTCACAACAGCATGTTATCTACAGCAGACACATTTAAGCCTTGCTTCTGACGACAGATAAGTGAACTGTCTTAACGAACATTATTGTGGTATATAATCTTTACTACTTTCATAATTTCAGACATTGTTAAACACGACTGTGGAGAAAAGCTACCATACAGCTGGATCTGTCATGAACGCAACCAGTCAAAGTGCCTTCAATTTGAAACATCCCTTCATTCAAAAGAAGTGTTCCGACAGAAGAAACAACTACGTGGCGACCACCGAAATGGCCGCAGGTAATAGTGTATTGTCTTATTTATTTTGTATACTTTATTTTCCTGTCATCGATTTTGTAAGTGCGTCAAGATATTCACGTGTGATGGTTGAGATTCGTGCAGATGAATTTGTGGCTGCTACTGATTCCTTATGATGTTGATGAATACTTGAAAAGATGATGATGTGGATAATTGTAGGGGCTTATTGTCGATTTACTAACTTTTATTTACTTTTGTTGGTGTTTAATGATAATGATGATTGTTGCTGATGGTGGTGTTTATTGACTATAATGATTGTTGGTGACGATGTTGTTGTTGTTGATGGATATGTTTAATGATAATGATGATTGTTAATTAGGATGTTGTTGATGAAGAGGTTCAATGTTAATGATGATTGTCGATGACGATGTTGTTGTTGATGAAGCTGTTTAATGATAATGATGAATGTTGATGATGATGTCCATTTTTCAGGAGCCCCTCCCCCAGCTGCAAGTGATAAGTTCACTTTTTTCACCTCGTGGGGGACTGTGCATCTCTACATCCTTCGGTCAACTGGTCTTGTGACAACCACCACTGCCACCCCTCCTTAAAAGCTGTCCACATCATCGTGTATGTCTTCAGAATAAAGAAATGTGATCGCTCAGCTCTGTGTATTTCTTTTGTACCTTTATGTGATACGAGGCAGTCCCTGAGCCAATTTGTTTTACATTTGACAAAGTATATCCAGTACAAAGGCACTTAGAGGAATAAGAGAGGCGTGAGATGAGTGACTGGGTGACCGTGAGATGAGTGACTGAGTGACTGAGTAATGCATCAACCATAACAACAAACTTGTAACTCCATTACTTTGATTTTAAACCAGACAACAAAACAAATCAAAGTGTTTGACTGCTTGTCCAGGATTGAATATTCTCGCTACTACTCACTCTAGTGAACAAACCTTGTAACCTTGATCAAACAACCTTTGATCGAGAGTCGTATGACGCTCTTTGAAATCTTAGTAGAAAGAGCATGCTCCATTGCACCCCAAAAGTTGTGACATGTGGACACCAAGGGCCGGAGATGGTCGAATACTGTTTGACATAAAGGGAAAGTTGACCGTTGGAAAGTTGGGGTAATCCCTCTCGTCATACAGCCTTGTGGATAGATTTTTATCATCCTCAATCTATCAGCATAGATCTAAATATGAAACACGATGCCGTCTCACTGGTCTCCTTTATTTCTAGGTCTGGTTGGTAAATCAATGGAAGGGAATTGGCACCTTGAAAGTAACTGAACGGTATCAGATCATCGTTATACTTGCAGCTTAAGTTAAACTTCTTGGCCTCATCACCTTGGTTTAACTTTGCCAATCAGAGCAGAAATGCCGATTCATATCATAGAGAAAAAAACAGATCAGCAAGAAGGGGAGTACCCTTGGTGTCCATGGGGATGCCTACCTTTAGCTTAAATGTCTTACCTAGGTACATAGATACATAGATAGATTTTATTTATGAGGAAATCCAGCATATCACATATTGTTTTCTCAGTAACCTTCAGATGGCATTTGCTTTCAATTTTGACAAACTGTCCTGAACCTCTGAAGATAGAGGGGCGGTCGGGTAGCCTAGTGGTTAAAGCGTTCGCTCGTCACGCCGAAGACACGGGTTCGATTCCCGACATGGGTACAATGTGTGAAGCCCATTTCTGGTGTCCCCCGCCGTGATATTGCTGGAATATTGCTAAAAGCGGCGTAAAACCATACTCACTCACTCACTCTGAAGATAGATCTGCAACTGTATCTTTGGTCACGACTCTTAGTTAGGAAATGACTCACACAAAGTGAAAGTCAATTCTTATCATTTTGTATCACATGTTGTTACCTCAAAGGATATAGGCCTGGATCCATGCACAATTTTATTTAGTGCGTGTGACTTCATGTTTACACTGACAGCCATACAACAACCAGTTTTATCGAGGAATAATATAGTTCCCCAAATAGAGAGGTGACATTAGCGGATGTATGCACACATTGCTCTTCAGAAACATTTGACACAACACATTATTCAAATAGTATCACCATTTGATGAGAAAGGTCTGTCAAGAGCTACGTCAATAAATCAGTCAGAATGACAATGCATTACGTAAAACATGTACATCAAGTACAAGATGTCAAAGTGGTCGACACGATAAACGTGACGGAAGAGATTTCGAGTGGTTTATGAACCTGTGGCGGTTACATGCTTTCGTCATCATTAAACAAATGGGCCGATCATTGAAAAGTGATTATAATGTGTCAAATAGACACTAAGGTAAATTCATAGAAGGATCATGCATTTAAACTCTCTGACGTTTCTCAATGTATATTAAAACGCTGAGTTCAAGACTAAAGGGTCCAAATGGTCAGAAAGAGCGCTTCTGTTAGTATTTGAGCTAGGGACTTCCTCGGGGTTCCCCAAAGAATGTGTAGGTAGTACGTCAGTGTTTACGTCATTTCAAGAACACGGTCTTGTGAAAAAGTCGTATGAACGCCAAATTGTGCCGTTCATACACTTATGAACGTCAATTTCGCGGTCATGTGACCGACCTCTCGTCCAATGGAAAAGCCGTATATCGTGTTAACGTCAAATTAAAAAATATTACCCCATGTCCCATGGGTTAAGGTAGGAAGATTTCTCTTAAGTTTGTCATGTGGAATTATAGGTGGGCGCAGTTGAAGAATCAAAAGGGTTCACAGAATTGAACCTGTTTTGTGCTGATTTTGCAAAAGTGGTCCAGCAAATCCTGTGAGTTTATGGGATTCCACATTGTATTGATTCCACTTGACTCAAATATTTATTGCGAATATAAAAAAGACCTTTTTTGATTGAGTTCAGTATAATGGCTTATTTTTGAGACAGGCATTTAGTGGTACTTTTGCTGGACCCAGCAATATCTCTCTGTGTACGGATTAAATGAAGCTTTGTTATCACGTTGTATGCAGTGAGGTTGGGCGACATGGGGATGGATTGGTCAAAGCTGGTGCATGTGGTGATTATGCTTGGGCTGTGTATTGAAACTGGTTTCAGTTATCAGTAGAACTTTCATCAAACGTCTTCACATGTCACAGAAGAATGGTCTTGGCGTCACACATGATAAATTTAATTACCAATCCAGTGGTTTAAAGTGCTAGTCATATCGAAAGATTTCTAAAACTAAACTAAAATATATCCGTTATTATGTATTATTTGTTTTATTATGCGATTTTAGAAGCACATTAACTCAGAACTACCTTCATTTCCCTTTAAGTTTTCAGTGCATTGATGTTATGTTGCTGTGAAGATCATTAAAATAGGAAACATAACTTTGACACTACTACCGTATTCGACGTAATATGCGCCCCGCTCAAAAAAGAGCCCACAGCAATATTTGCTGATATATTGGCTAGTGAACAATCCCATTAGCACCCCTTCCGATTGATCAATGTACACAAGACGTATTTATTCGTGTATAATACGCACTCGTGAGTTATTTGCACCCGTAATTATGGGCAATTAAATTCTGGAAAAATATATCTGTCGTATATAAAAAAATTCAAGCCGTCAGCATAAACCAATTTTTGAGAGCGCCCTTGGCGGTATGCCTTGGAAATGGTGTACTCTTCACCTTCAGGCTGCCACCTAAATGTTGTAACTTATCCCTGTGCCGAGTGTATTTGAGTGTGACTTTGAACAAAACTGGATTCCTTCATCGGTAGAAATTATCCATACTTCTCCATATCGGTAGAACGTCTCCATACTTTATCCTTTAGTTAGAAATTATCCATACTTATCCATATCGGTAGAAATTATCCATACTTTATCCTTATAGGTAGAAATTAGCATTACTTTATCCTTATAGGTAGAAAATATCATACTTATCCATAGCGGTAGAAATTATCCATACTTATCTATAGCGGTAGAAATTATCCATACTTATCCATAGCGGTAGAAATTATCCATACTTATCCTTATCGGTAGAAATTATCCATACTTATCCATATCGATCGGTAGAAACTATCCATACTTATCCATAGCAGTAGAAATTATCCATACTTATCCTTATCGGTAGAAATTACCCATACAGGGGAACATAGCCCAAGTTGTGCTGGCTCACTTATGATATTCCTTTCTGAGAAGTATTTTTCACAACTTTATGTGCATCTACATTATATGTCTCTAAATTATGTGTATCTACATTATTCATATCTACATTAAGTGTATCTACATTATGTGTATCTAAATTATGTGTATCTACATTATTTATATCTACATAATGTGTATCTAAATTATGTGTATCTATAATATATGTATCTATAATATATGTATCTACATTATGTGTATCTAAATTATGTGTATCTACATTATTTATATCTACATTATGTGTATCTACATTATTCATATCTACATTATGTGTATCTACATTATGTGTATCTACATTATTCATATCTACATTATGTGTATCTACATTATGTGTATCTACATTATGTGTATCTACATTATGTGTATCTAAATTATGTGTATCTACATTATTTATATCTACATAATGTGTATCTAAATTATGTGTATCTATAATATATGTATCTATAATATATGTATCTACATTATGTGTATCTACATTATTTATATCTACATAATGTGTATCTAAATTATGTGTATCTATAATATATGTATCTATAATATATGTATCTACATTATGTGTATCTAAATTATGTGTATCTACATTATTTATATCTACATTATGTGTATCAACATTCTTCATATCTACATTATGTGTATCTACATTATGTGTATCTAGAGTTATGTGTATCTACATTATGTGTGTCTATGATATATGTATCTACATTATGTGTATCTACATTATGTGAATCTAAATTATTGATATATACATTATTTATATCTACATTATATGTATCTACATTATTTAATCTACATTATATGTATCTACATTATATAGAATTCACGTAGAAGAGTGTTACTGTGACATGACCAATCAAATTCAAGATATTCAAAGACATTGCGCGATGGCTTAGCCAAGGTAAATCACGTCACGTTGAAGACCTGGCCCCGAGGTTATAAAACAATTCGTGCTCAACTCAGTTTCATGCTCAAATTCATGCTCGTGCTCATGTTCGTACTCAGTTGAGTTTTGGACTCAAGCAGAGGTTATAAAACATCTTGAGTCTGTACTCAGCTGAGCACAACTCACGCTCGGCTTGAGCATGCTCAAAGTACTCTTTGTTTATGACACAAGCGGCAATTTTGAACTCTTCCGTCGAGAAAGGTAGGAAAACAACCCGACTGTTGTCGTCTGATTATTTCCAATGGCAACGTAGAGCATGCCCGAGTCAAGAAGGCGATGTAAGGGTTGGTCACAGGCGGAGGAAGTGTGTCTTGTCCAGGAGGTGGTCCAACGAGAACAACTTTTGTTTGCAGAAATAAAAGGAAGTGGTGTGTCGAGTCTGACGCAGGTGAGCTGCCATTGTTGATATCGAACTCAGCGTTGAGCACGGTCCAAAGCGTACTTGACATCGTAGGTATTTCATGCTGAAGCTGAGCACGAAAACGTACTCAGATATTTTATTATGTTCATTAGTACACATCATGAAGGGATATTTTCCAAAACCACGAGGCAGATGAGGGCGGAACCAGCTGCCTACAGGATGTACAGCGTTAGTTTGCCCCACAGCGTCGGGAACGTCACAACTTCACTGTTAGCGGGAGCAGTGGACCCTGGAACACCATTATAAAAAGATTTTCGTATACAAATAGTATGCATGCTGTCAAGAGCATTATCAGCATGTAGGAAACATGCATTCAAGACAATTAGTATTATGATCACATTGAGTCCTAAACACTATCTTCTAATTGAAATTGTCTTCATCAAATAGTATGCACGTATTCAATACAGTTTGTAATAAAATGACATCAAGTCATCAAATAATATACAAAGGCATCTATTAAGAAATGTTTGTTTGTTTGTTGTTTAACGCCGCACTCAGCAATATTCTAGCTATATGACGGCGGTCTGTAAATAATCGAGTCTGGACCAGACAATTCAGTGATTGATATCATGAGCATCGATCCACGCAATTGGGATACGATGACATGCATCAGCCAAGTCAGCGAGCCTGATACCCGATCACGTTAGTCGCCTCTTACGACAAGCATAGTCGCCTTTTATGGCAAGCATGGGTTGCTGAAGAACTATTCTACCCCGGATCTTCACGAATCTCATCTTTTAAGACCAAGACTTAAACATAAGACCACACCGTGTGCCTTATACTTAAGCTTAATAGTATCAAATGGTTATTATAAAAAAATATCTTTATAAAAAGTAGGGGATAAAGAAATATAAATGTTTATACCAAGTATAAGAACAAGGATACGTGTTGACGACAAACATCCAATGCAAGAACGTTTATGAATTTAAAACATCACACCAAAACACATCCGATAGTTTGCACATGCCTCACGCAGTACTTAGCGCCACACACGTGAGAAGAGTGTCATTCGTGATTTTGACACTTTCAAGGAAGGTCGATTTATCTCTTTGGGCTATTATTTCTGTGAATGTTATTAATTCTGCCTATCATACACTTGTGATTTACTTGATTTTCATTCTTTGTTTGTGTTTGAACTGGCGATGCGGTGTCTGCAACGCGCAGAGCGCCTACGTGCAATTAACTTGCTTGAAACAGACAGACGTCAGCGTGCTGTGGCCAATACGTTCAATGTTTCACAGTCTGGGAATAGCGGACCATGGAAAAGGTATCAACATACCATAAATGTCGACGATCAACCACGTTCAGGGTGTCCCATGTTGACGACAATGTTATCGATTGGTCCAAAACCAGGCTCTGCGAGGTGAGGTGACGTGAAATGGTGTTTAACATCGCGTTTAAAATTGTTGCACTTATATAGCGATGTGCGTGTACGTGGGTGTTGGGGTGCGGCTGCTTGTACTAGTCCGGACTAATGCCGATTGTATAGTGCTTGCCCACTGAGATACCATGCCACAGTTTATCATGAATAACTCACTCAGACACAGTATACTGACTCCGAGCCAACCAGTCCTTGTTTTACCCGCTGTATGCCTAGCGCCAGGCAGGGTAACAACATGTACCATCTTTTAACGTCTTTTAGTACGACTCGGCCAAGGATCGAACACCAGACCTTCCGCTCTCCGGGCGGACGTTCTAACACCAGGCCACAGAGGCGGTCCAGGCTTTTCGAAATCGAGCTCAAACGGTGAATCAAATTTCTGCAAACGTTCTTCACGCTACTCGAGTACGAATTACGGGTCACACGCTTAGAAATCGTCTACATGCAGCTCGTCTCCATGCTCGATGACCACGTGTTGTGTCGCCCCTTACAAATCGTCATATTGCCTACAGACGGCAATGGTTTACACGTCGAAACTGGGGTAATCGTCGCTGGCCATGTGTCATCTTTTCAAATGAATTCCGATTCACTTCCACTTCATATCGTGCAAGGAATGGTCACTGGACAGTACTATCGGGAAAATATACTGACACCATTTGTTGTCCAGTTTGCAAGACGTGTGGGTCGACGTTTTGTCTTTCAGGACGTCAACGTCCATGCCCACCGTGCACGAATCGTCAAGGCTCACCTCCAGCAGCACAACATCCCTAGAAAGCCATGTCCAGTAATGAGCCCAGATGGTCCCCCACTGAACACGTCTAGGACTCGATAAGGAGACGTGTGCGTCAACGTCAACTGGTGATCATGTCAGCTGAACTTGGCGAAGGGTTGCAAAGGAATGAGACAGACTTCCAAATTTCCATTGGGAGACGTTGAGGCAGTATGCCTCGTCGATTGAATGAATCTTTGACAAATCTTGGCGGTATTACGCACTACTGATCCAAAAACGTCAACTTTGAAATTTCCCATCTTACCTATATCGTCTTTCAAGATCGTTGGCAGTCATACCATCTACTGTCATACTTCACTACCTGGTCCCACTTCGTTTATTCTTATCATGCAACTATTACTAGAAAATAATGTGTCTCACAATTTAGAAATATTAAGTTACCCCCATCTTTCCGAGGCAACTGCGTCAACTGACTCTTAAAGTCCAGTTTCCATCCTTGCCGAACTTAGCGCCACCAGTGGCTATTACGAGTTATTTCCCTCCGATAACCCCACTATTGACCAATCAAATTCCACCTCGCATATCACTTGCATTTGCTTCAAAGAAAATGGAGGCGCCCAGTCAAGACGATCCTATCGAAAATCAAGATTAAAAGTGATAAAACGGGTCTTACTTCGCGAAGTGCATCAAATCACGAGAGAACCTTGATTAAAAGCTTGAAAGGATTCGGGAAATATCTGTTGACGCCGAGTTGGCAGTACACATGCTTTGCAAATCCTGCAATCGATCGAAATCTGCACGTCAGTTTACGAACCGGATATCGATTTCATTTCGCAATTTTGATTGGACTATGCACAGACTCGATAGTCCAGCCAAAATATAACTCCATAATACCAGTCTAGTTCGGCAAGTGTGGAACCTGGACTTTAAAGTCAGTTAACTCTCTTGCCTCGGGATGATGGAGTACTCCCTACGTTTTTAAAGGTTATACTTTAGACACCAACTGTAAAATTAATAGCCGAAGAATAATCATTTAAGGATTGACTGTGTATTATTTTCGGTTCATTGAGGTATGAATCGAAAAACCGATGTGCAAACATTTGTAAGAATCCGCACATCGGTTTTTCGATTCATACCTCAATGAACTGAACCGAAATAAATACAGTCAATGCTTATAATTAAATTCGACAACGTATAACATGTTTTATCTACAATAGTTTAACCATAAACAGTTGTATATATCAAAACAGACAAAAATGACGAGATTGATAAACATTCCAGGTGTAGGAATATACACTTTGGCGTGACATGAATCAGGGGATCGTTTAATTTATGCACACAACTTGACACGCCTACACTGTCAGTAGCCAATCAACGGAAAGTAGGATCAAAACAATGTTCATTGGCCCTGTCAATTATGGCAAGAGGCGAGAAGAACTGCAACAGTCAGACTGTCAGAACCAGAAGAAATATGTCCGGGAGAAGGCGGCTGTTTCAAATAACATGGTCAGTTACCGCCACATTCAAACATTACTTCCCTGATTACGGTAAAACACAGTAGGAAAAATGCTGGTCAGAAATGAAACCCGAAGACATGAAAGTTGAACGGGGTGAGCGGAAAAAAAACAGGCGAGCGAGCCTGTTCGTTTGCTGTTTCATTCATTCTCGGCCTTCGGTTTCAAAGGGTAGTTTGGACAATGAATATGCATGAAAGTCGCTAAATGTCCTGTGCATGGCGATACACGTAAGCAGAAAGGAAATTCCCTCAACTGTAATATTGGGATTCCCCGACATTCCGCAGTAATAAAAGTAGTGCGCCTCGGTGGGCGTGGCTTAAATGTTTACATTCATTGGGAAATGAATGCAATAACACGTGACCAATTCAGTTAATCAGAATGCAGGGATTTCAATGCACACAACGACAACTTAATTATAAGGATGTAAATTGAGTTAGGGCGCTTGTTCACGCAGACAAGACACGTTGCAACATTGCTTCACCTGCAGACAACTCTGTCGTGTCAATGTAGGTGTCAGCTGCACATTCTGTTGCGATGAATGGATTGGCCGTGATCAAGGTGGCCTGACTTGCTGCGTCCATTGGCGTTGTCAGGGTCATAAACTGCTTCTCCATCACTGGATTCACTTGCTATAATTAAAAAATATGTCACAGTTATTCTATCTACAATTATCATTGTTTTTCATTTACAACAAGCTGGGATTCAAACAGCGAGTGTGTGCGGGCGGGCGGGCGTGCCAATAGAATCCCACAATGATCCCGACATAATATCATGTTTATATTTGTAAAATGTACCATTCTTGTATTTATCATACACTTGTCAGAGGGGTACACAAAGTACGTGATCTAGACTACCAGTTTCAATTTTGTAGAGGCCTCGGTGGCTGAGTGGGTTAGATCGTTGACTCTGTGTGCTGGCGATTAGTTGCCTCACTCTGGCGGTGTTGGTTCGAATCCCGGACGGGACTCAACCCAAAAGGAATCTGTACTTAACTCAGAAAGTGTTATCCCAAATATGACATTTGTTACATGTATCATTCTTGCCAATTGAATATTTGAGAAAAAAACAAACAGAACCGGTAATGACTGAAAACTTACAACTCGGGCTTGCAAGTCAGCACTTGTGGCGGAGAATGTATCAAGCACGTTGGTACCGTTGAAAATGAAACAAGTCTTAACCGGCCGATCGAAAAGTTTCACAGCAAACATTTCCTGAAAGTAACGAGCAGTCCAGTTATCGATCACCTTCCCAGTAAGATGTAAATAGTGTGTGTTTATGATACGTTGTCGCTTACTGAGATCAACATCCGTGATATGTACATCTGACAATAATATAGCACAGTCTACTACATATGTCCATATCAAATAGACATTAAACAATATGGAATCCTCTTCCGATGAAACACATTCGCTTTTGTATACATCTCATAGTATACCCGAATCACGTACCGTGTTGTATTCAATATACTCGGCGTTGCTTTTCAGACCGACAGATGCCAGAGCCCTGGATGGAGCGACGAATTTGATGGTCTGGGCAGCGTCGTCTATAACGGCTCTTTCCTTTGCTGTTACGGTTGGAGTCACGACCCGAGTCCATGAGGCCTTTATGCTCGCCTGAAATAGGCAAAAAATGAAATATGTAGTTTATTTATTATTTTAAACGCCAGGTTACTTTCAACGCCAAGATAACGATGGCTTAGATGTTCTGACCTCGTTGCGTGAGTGAGTGAGTGAGTGAGGCTAATCACCGCCTTGAACCGTATTCCAATTATATCACGCCCATTAACTTCATGTGGGAGAAAAGTCCGAAGTGATGCTGGTTTCCACGTTGGTGAAACCCACGAGCACGGGTATGGTATTGACAAACCTAGATACATAATCTGGGCGAATCGGGAACCGAACCCAGAATCATAGGTTTCTGGCGTGGTCAAGGAACGCAACTCAACACAGCGAATTGCGTTGCCTTTGACAACTGGGCCACCCGTGTCCCCACAAGGGACAGATATACAGTAAACTACGGTTATAACGAACTCAACGGGACTACTAATTTTAGTTCGTTATGACCGTAATTGGTTATAAGCATATATACAGCATAACTACAGCATATAGTCGGGACTAAAAAGTTAGTTCGTTATATCCGTTAGTTCTTTATAAGCGTGTTCGTTATAACCGTAGTTTACTGTACGTACAAAACGTCAATGGCAGAGAATAACCAGTCTTGATTATACGCTGAAACAGTTTCGCGGTGAAAATTATATGATTGAAAATCCTTGATGTCCTTCCATACTGGAAGCATCCGCCACACACAGTGTGCATGAAACAGCAATTGTGCTTGTTGCCTGACTCCCACAGCAGTGATGCTACTGCAATGCGACGGTTGCATGTAAACAATCGTGACAATCAAGTGATGGACTAGAACATCCAGTGACCCGGTAACGCACATGACGATGAAACTTTCATTAATTGTCCTTGTAGGTCCACCGTGGTCAGATACAACACCAGTTTTTGTATAATTACAGTATTTTCTGAAATATAAATAGTTTGAGTTTTATAACATTCTAATGACTGAACCTAAATATTTGCTGCCAATCATGCCATGGAACATGTTTTACATAATATCAAATTACGCAAATATATTAACTCACCGCAGGACTTGTTTGAGCCAAAACAACATGACCCAGGCAAGCAAGAGCTGTAGCAAGAAGAAGAGAATTCATTTTTCAAAATGTCCGAACTCCCTGATGCTGGTTCTCTGTATAAAACATTCACCCACTGTCAGTCCTATATGTACTGCTATGTATTCAAATTTTGACCTAACGGTGACCTGATGAATATTCTTATACCTTTTTAGTCGTTCCAAATAATGATATTCACAACTTGTGATATAAGCGTCAGGTTGAAAGAACATTGGGAGAGGCATCAGCGTTTGCATGTATTCTGTAGTGACAACCGCCTCCGTGGTCTAGTGGTAGAGCGTCCGCCCGCAGAGCGGAAGGTCCGGGGTTCGATCCCCGGCTGCGTCATACCAAAAGACGTTAAAAGATAGTACTTGTTGTTACCCTGTCTGGCGCTCGGCATTTAGGGGCTAAAACAAGGACTGGTCGGCTTGGAGTCAGTATACTGTGTCTGAGTGGGGTATTCGTGTTAAACTGCGGCATGGTATCTCAGTGAGCTAGCACTATAATCGGCATCAGTCCGGACTAGTACAAGCAGCCACACAAACACACACACGTACGTGCACGTCGCTATATAAGTGCAATAATCTTGGACGCGACGTTAAACCCCATTTCACCTCACCTCACCTCACCGTAGTGACAAGGGAGTTTTACAGCAATGGCCATGATATTAAGGGATGCTGTTTCGATGCGGACTATTGACCAAGGGGCATAGCACTTGTTGTGACAAGGGACTAGATTTTTTTGCGTTAGTTTTTGATTGAGTGAGTGAGTTAACACAGATGATTTTCACACTACGTGTGAGTTAAAATTTGAACAAACAAAAAACAAACAAAACATACGAGAAGCCCACGATGCAACGAATAATGTAAGAAATGTGTGAAAATATATAGGCACATTTCCCCAACACACCCGCACACACGTCCGCATATATATATATATACAATGAGCAGTGTTCCTAATCTAAACTACTTTACCGGGGTCAAAAAAGATGTGTGCGATAATTATACAGCTCCCATGAGCACATGTCTCCGAATATGCAAATTAGCATTAAAATCAAGCATATGTTTATGTACGCGTCTTACAACCATAACCTACTACATGGCACATAATCACGTATGATAGACTATACCCTCGGTAATGACATCACATTTTTCACTTTGTACTTGTTTATTGATTATCGATTATTTCTCAAAACTATAGATTTTGTGGTCGTATTAAGAATAAAATTACTGTAATAATATGTTTCTTTAAGTAATCGCTGAAGGTTCGCGGAGTGTGAAATGTGACACGACTTGAGATTTCCTTTAGCAATCACATAATATCCGCGTTTTAATCTATTTTTCAAATGACAAATATTGCGTTTCAGAGGCCAGCGGTTGCACAATGGATTAAGGTGTTGCAATCCACCCTGCAGAATTGCATCGCATTGTCGTTCCAGGATCTGCTAATGTTTAGCACTAGCCCCATATTCACCAAGATAATGATTGTAGGTTTGTCAGCACCATAGCCGTGCTCGCAGATTCCACCAAACGATCCGTCATACAGATATGCCATCAAGATGTTCTCTGTATATTGAACAGCTCATTTTATTCTCTGAGCTTTCCTTTCTTGAACTATTCAATATTTTATCTCACTTCTTCGTCTTGTAACTTAAGTATACTAAGTAATAATGTCAATATATTGTAACTAATCTTATCAAAGATTTGAAACTTCCATACAATACCTATCTGTGTGAAGATCTTGGGACACCTCAATAGGAGGTCTAGTCACGTGAACTTTCTGATCAGCCCATCAGCATCGAGGCCCCAAACTTCTTTGTACGAGTGAGCGGAGCATTTAGACAAGCACATCTGATTTCTGTATAGAGGGAAAACCCGAATGCGAAATAAAATGCCGCGCATATGTATTCTTGTGGATGTGTACATACACCCTGTCGTTTCTGAGCACAATGGCATCTACACTCAAAAGGTCAATGTTGTGTTGCGTGCGGGTTTCCTTTCCTAAGCTGGTTAATTTCCGAATGGGGGTAGTTAAGAAATGAAAACTTAGTCTAAAAACCTACGCATCCCCGTTTCATTTAAACTTGACGGTCAAAGTCCGCTAAGGGATCACGTGACGATATTTCTGTGGAAGTGTCCTCAGATTTTCACGCAGGGGGTGTCGTGTCAGAGTAAAATATTTGAATTTAATGAGATTGTCACTGTCGCTGAAATGACCTGTTTCCTGGAGAGGCGGGTTTATTTGACAGGTACAAATGGCTCTGGCTCACAACTCCGGTCTCACGCGGGACATTCTCGCTATGTGCTGCTGATTCTCTGTCTCCCGAGGTTCTTGGCCCTCCCTGACAACCACCTCAGCATTTAAGCAGGGTTTTACCCTTTGGACCTGGCGCCCAGGGTTTACTTCGTGGATGAAACAAACAAGGCCTTCACTCTTACTGTGCACTGAACTTCGGCCCAGGAATACCATCTCCCGTCACTTATAACTCTCTGACCATGCAGCAACTTCACGTTTACAGTTCCCAGCTCCGGACGCGGATGTCTTTCTTATGCGACTGCCGTGTGGAAAATTCCATGTTGTCCAGTAATATAAATAGTCTGTCCAGAACATCCCTGTTTGGACAAGGTAGCCTGTATTCCTCGTCCAGCGACCTCACTATAGGTATAAATGTGTGACTCTTGTCACGGTAGACGTAATCTTGGCTGGACAGCTATATCACAAATACCGTATTCGACGTAATAAGCGCCCAGGGGGCTCTCAAAATTAAAAATGGGGGGCTCTTATTAGAATAATATTTTGGTGAAAAAAACAGAGTTGAAAGATAAATTTCGTGGTTTATGCTGACAGCCTGAAATGTTTATATACGACAGATATATTTTTCCAGAATTTAATTGCCCATAATTAACGTTGCATATAACACACGAGTGCGCAGTATACGCGAATAAATAAGTCTTTTGTACATTGACCAATCGGAAGGGGTGCTAATTGGGATTGTTCACTGCCCAATATATTAGCAAATATGGCCGTGGGCGCTTATTAGAGCAGGGCGCTTATTACGTCGAATACGGTCCCCTTTTTCATGACACAGCTGATACTTGATTTTAACATTATTTATTTCCAAAAAGGAAAGGGATCGGTGATCAGGCAAAACCTATTTGACCAACTCTACCTTCAGGGACAATTAATGAAAGTAAACTGTACATACAATAATAAAGATAGACAAGCTGTACCTCCCGTAGCAAATAATATGATGATGCAAAGATACAAGTCACACATATATCAAACTAACATTCAGTCTAGGAAAGCTTATATTACACAATACCCTTCTCGACTCTGACATTAAATGTAAATGTCACTGGTAAGATCTATGATCTGTCAACATAGTAACGTTACGTTATGGTGACTGAAACGTCTCCGATGTGCATACGTTATGCTTTCCTCAGACAGTATGACATGATATAATATTGTTACAATTTTGTGTAGTCGCTGGGAACAATGGAACACGTTACCCTCCACGTGACAAACATGCTTGTGCCTCAAGGTCATAATTCACGTGTGACGCGTCACGGAGTTGTCAATTGTGTAACTAGGCTTCCTATCACACGATATGCTCACATGCCGTTACACAAGGCACACCGACCCTGAATACAATAACAACATGACTCAAGTATGTTTAAGTACCACAACAACTGTTTCCAACATTCGATATTCGTCAGAAAATACTTACCCAGATTTCAGGGATTATGCACAGGTCCCTGTGTTCCAGGACCTGACTTATTGCTATTTTCGCGAACACCTGGTGTCATCACTGATTTTCAGTGATCCATTCATGTAATTGTTTCCACAATTTTGCCTTTTCGCCTCGGTAGATAATCGAGACTGATACTTCTCTGGCGGAGATGTTTTTTTATTATCTTGATACAAAAAAGTCTGAACCATCATCAAGTCTATTGATAAGGGGTGACATTGATCTGTCGGCATAGAAGGGTAAGCAACAGAAAGCAATTTTGTTTTAGTCTTTATTTGCATCTCACAATCTACAGTGTAAGTATCAACATGTAAACTGTACATTAAAATGATGGAAAGGACGTGGTTTGACATGCCTTGTGTACGAAATGAACAAACGGTCAAGAAGTGGATGTGAAATGTTTCAGAGGTGTTCAGACGAATGTGAATAGGTTTTTCTCTTCAACATTTGCATCTTTTGGATTTATAACAACACCAATTGCACACGTAAAGCACATATGAATCTGCAAACCTCTTGTAAGAGTCATTGAGTAAGTGTTATCTTTTTATTTGAACACGAGCAAGTTTTTGACCCATGGTGATTTGGTCAGTAGAGGACAGTATAGACATGAAGAGAGTATGTCTCCTTGGTTCAAAAACTTGCTGGTTTTAGCTTAAAAGTGCGTTACAATCGGCTTCTGCTGATGGTCATGACCTAAAACACTCCACTCGATTGAAGGAAAAAACAACCAGTTTTCAGTCCGATTACTTTTATACTTAAGAATTGGACAGTTTCAGTGTGATTTTTATACAGTGCCCTTCACATTTCAAAGTACAAACTGTTTCAAACAACCTGTGTACTAGTAACACCACTAGCCACTGACATTGTGTCTCGTAGACAGATGTAGATCTGACATCTTTTCTGTTCTGTACGTCTCGAAACCTCGATTGTCTCAATGCTTCTCAAGGCCGCTTATATGAATATAAATTACCACCGAAAGATCACCAAATTCATCGACATCGCAAACGTGATCATAAGCTTTATGCAAATATATTCACGTTCATTTCAGGTATAACGTGAACACAATCTTTATACGCTGCTCATCCTTTGTAACTGAAACATCGACCATGAGGTCAAATTCTAAAACTAGGCCTGTTTTAACAGTATTACCACAACGCATCACATATCATACACACACAGTTCACAGGTGAATGTGACCCTCTGTCATCTTCATGACAAGGCATGTAAAGTGGAACTGACGTAGATGGTGACGCTTCCTCCGACAGTTAGTAAAGTCAATGGAAATTTATCCAGGATGTCTGTCATATCTGAAACGCAAAAACATACTCGTGTTGTATTTGGGCAGAGAAATGACGATGTCACCATTATAGTGTTTATACATCCGATGTATGTTTTAAATATCAATATTTTAGATTTTAGAGCATTGAATGTATGATGAGAACATTTACTATACGAAAAAATAGAAACATTAAGTAACAGTTTTCGTTTACAACATATTCTTAGTACAGTTTTGGCAGATGCTAATTGTTTTTAGAAATATCGGATATCCTAACACTACTCGTTGGGCACACACTCACCCGTCGCAGGTGCTGTTGCGTTGAGGATATCCATGTTGCGACATTTCCTAGCAAGATAAGGACTGGCAGTCTGAAAGGCTTCTCTCTCCGGAGGGGTCATGGCAATGTCTGACGTCATCGCAAACTGGCCAATTTCAACTGTCTCATTCAACCTCTGTTTCTGAGAAAAAAAGGTGAAATAAGTGCCTGTGAGATTAAGTAGGCGTTCCAGACACCAATGGCGCAGGAATATGTAGAGTAAAACATGTCTGTAATGAAATGCACCAATGTCTAAGCTAATTGTATCGGATTCGGTCGTCAAGTGTCCACTTTCTCAACAGACAGACAGTTCAGAGTACAAGCAGTTTCGATCAGTTTCCCGAAACAGATTCCATTGAATCCATATGAGAATCAGTGATGACACCAGGTGTTCGCAAAAATGTGAAACATCATTACCACAAAACCCATACAATATTTAATGCAAAATTCCTGCGATAGAATCATTCTCAGTTCTATGCTTTTTGTGAGTACTCCGTTTGTCTCGAAAGAACGGGTAACTCCTCATGATTTATTGCGTGTTTAAAGAGGTTTCACTGTGTGAACCACTTAACATAGTTGATTTTAATTGATGCGTCACTTGATTAACGATCAATCACGCTTTTATGACAATTTCTAACTAATCATTTCCTTGGTCCATGTTGTTCATGTCGTTTCCCTTGTTTGGCTTTTGCCATTGTCGTAATTGCTGAAATCCATCAGATCTGCTTTAACTTGACATTCGGCCCCCAACCAATCCCCCCCACCCCCCCACCCCCCCACCCCCCCAAAAAAAAAAAAAAATATAAAAAAAAATTAATTTTTTTTTTTAAAAGTCCACTTGTTGATTCACCCAGTCACATACTACATGTAAATTAACTTCAGCGACTTCTTCCCGTTGCCGGGAGAAAGCAGGTCATATAATTACTAAGTGTATAAGATATGCCTAAAACGAGGATTTGCTCGCGGAATCTGTGATTTTGCGTGTTGTGTTTCATCGTTGCATTAATGTCTTCTTATTTTTTAAGACACAGGTTTGTCTTGTCAGGGCTGTGTTGTATACAGAATGACGCGACATAGCCATACTTTTAACGAATGTGTGGGCTCTTTTAACGACCCCCACAGGTACTTATGATGATCTGTTTTCCAGGAGCGGTATTTATATAAATAAGTGTTTGCTTGTTTACCAATCCGGCTTTCAAATAAGAAAACAACATTTCTAAACCATGTTGGTATGGACGATAACATTAATAGCTCATACAACAAATAAGATCACACGGACATGGATGGTTCAACACCTCCATCCTCAGTCCTATCGTGCATCAAGATGTCCCTACATCTGCATCCACAGTCCTATCTTGCATCAAGATGTCCCTACATCTGCATCCTCAGTCCTATCTTGCATCAAGATGTCCCTACATCTGCATCCTCAGTCCTATCTTGCATCAAGATGTCCCTACATCTGCATCCTCAGTCATATCTTGCATCAAGATGTCCCTACACCTCCATCCTCAGTCCTATCTTGCATCAAGATGTCCCTACATCTGCATCCTCAGTCATATCTTGCATCAAGATGTCCCTACATCTGCATCCTCTGTCCTATCTTGCATCAAGATGTCCCTACATCTGCATCCTCAGTCCTATCTTGCATCAAGATGTCCCTACATCTGCATCCTCAGTCCTATCTTGCATCAAGATGTCCCTACATCTGCATCCTCAGTCCTATCTTGCATCAAGATGTCCCTACATCTGCATCCTCAGTCCTATCTTGCATCAAGATGTCCCTACATCTGCATCCTCAGTCCTATCTTGCATCAAGATGTCCCTACATCTGCATCCTCAGTCCTATCTTGCATCAAGATGTCCCTACACCTCCATCCTCAGTCCTATCTTGCATCAAGATGTCCCTACATCTGCATCCTCAGTCATATCTTGCATCAAGATGTCCCTACATCTGCATCCTCAGTCCTATCTTGCATCAAGATGTCCCTACATCTGCATCCTCAGTCCTATCTTGCATCAAGATGTCCCTACATCTGCATCCTCAGTCCTATCTTGCATCAAGATGTCCCTACATCTGCATCCTCAGTCCTATCTTGCATCAAGATGTCCCTACATCTGCATCCTCACCCCCACACCCCCCACCCCCAGACACACAACCCCATCCCTCACCCCGCCCCTCAACACACAACTCACCTTCCTGGCCAGTATGTCAGTCATGGTGGTATTGAAGTCCTCGGTGATATTTCCTGGGAGGACGATGCACTTCCGGCTCCCTGACACGTAGGCTTTAGTCACCACCATGTCCTGTAGCAAATAGAATTGTCATTTCCATGTTACCAACGTTTTAGGTGGAACACAAGCAACATTTGGGTACAAACAGCGTTCCTGCCAAAAGGGGTACCACGTCATCCAGTAGCCGTAGACTGAAGGAGGTGGGACTTAACAGGTAGATATGCCCTTGTTACGACGTAAATTGTAATAAAAAGGTAAATTGTAACACTTGCAGCAAATTGTAATAATTTTGACGTAAATTGTAATAACAACGTAAATTGTAATGATATTTGACGTAAATTGTAATACGCAAATTGTAATAAAAATTGACGTAAATTGTAATAATCTCTACTTGCGGTAAAATGTAATAAATTCTTACGTAAATTGTAATAACCTTACTACCGTAGTGTCCAAGACGCCAATTGACTAGAAATGATCTTTGTCAGTTGAGCTTGCGTTTCACATGTACAATTCGAGTAATACTGTGTATGATGACAAACGTACAAAACTGTTAAGTTAGGGATGGTTGGTATAGCCTTTATCGTACAATCGTCATTAAAGGGTGGTGTCAACATCGATAAATTTAAATGACTGAAAGATCCATCCTCGGGTTCAAAATGATGGGTTACACAACCGTATATTCGACAAATAACTTAATTGAGACATATTGTTCAATTCTCTTATAAGGCTATTCAAGATGTTTTTTGCATGACTTGCTTCAACAGTACGTTGACCAGTTCGACACGACTGAACGAGTGATGACGAAGTGTACAAACACAGGCTGATCAACCAGTGTGTCGATTTTCAGTGGAAACGCTATACGAGTTGATAAGGAGTACATGATCCTTTTCTTGAAACAAACGAGGGAATTTAATCATATTTATATTTTGACGAAGAATTCAAACACAACAAATGAGTTGACAGATCCCGTGCATACACAAATAACATCCGGTATCTTCGGATAACTCTTGTACAGTTGCAAAGAGTATACGAATTATCTTAAATTTCTTGCAATCAATTGCTGAAATATATCTGCTTGTATCCAAATGGAAAGGAATTGAAAATGAATAATGAAAATATGATTGCCACTAAAGTAAATTTTCTCTTTGACCTTGAAACGTACTTGAAGATCATAAAACTCGACAATCGTTGGTGGATTGCGCCAAGAAACCTTGATACGAAATATATACGTACAATAATCCCCTGAAAACATAACCTCCTCTGAAAGATTAAGAGGATTAAAGTAATTTAGGCTAACGTCAAGCACTGTAATAACATACTCTCTTAAAATACCAATGAAATGACTGGTGACTTACCAAAAAGTCAAATTATATTTTGCTCCGATTGTTCTAATTGCCTACCCTTATCACTTTTTTTTCTGATATTGAGTTAAAACTTCTAAATTTGAGACTGCAATATATGTCTTCAGAGGGTATTTCATACACTATGTAACAACTGTTTCACCCCATTTCAAATTTGGTTTCATGCTGAATCGCTATTTTCAACTACTGCTAACACACTTTAAATGCAAGGAAAGCATCCCAAACAAATATTTTTATATATTAATACATTGTGTTGATAACAACGTACTTAACCTACAGAAATAACACTCCATATATATAAACAACAATGTTCTATATATCAAGTTTCAAAAAGTTCTCACACCCCACACTAAGTCATATTTAATGACGATTGTACGATAAATGCTGTACCAACCTTTTCTAAACAGTTTTGTACCTTTGTATATATATGTACTCCAACTGTTCGGAGTATATCTACAGGTTTGTGTTTCTATTTTATCTTTTAAAATACGATCTCGTATCTTACTTTGTTCATTTGCTACATTTTGAATAACCTTTAATTGCTCGTATCAGCATTTTTGTGGGACCTCTCACAAAGTAGTGTCACTCATCTTTCACTTGGAACTATATGTAGAAGTGCAGTCATAGATCTGATACCAATGACATATAGCGGTCGTATTTACTGGCATACATACATACATACATACACACATACATACATACATACATACATACATACATACATACATACATACATACATACATACATACATACATACATACATACATACATACATACTAGAGGTGTAACGATACGGGAGGGTCGCGATACGATACGTATCCCGATACAGGGGTCGCGATACGATACGTATCACGATACAGTGTTTACTGGTACAAGCTAAGCCAAGTTGCTGTCTTTCTGCTATCTAAAATATGTGACAAGTACAGTTGAAGAAGATATAAGGTGTTTATTTACTGTTATAGTAAATTGTCAGCAATACAGTATGTTTTACTGAAACAACAAACTGGCTTTGAAACTGTTAAAGTATTTCATGGGCGCACACACACCCCACCCCCACCCACCCCAACACACACACACCTTTTTATTTAGAAAAAAATCTTTATTTCTGTATAAATTACCACCAAAGACAATAATAAATAGATCTTAATTGTGCACCCCCCCTTTTCAAAAAAGCTGTATCCGCCCATGTATTTCATCTATTTTCTTGAGTATAGTGCGCACCGATGTATAATGCGCACGCCCCTCTAGCGGGTTCAATATTTTGGAAAAAAAGAAATATGAATATTATGCGCAGAAAAAAATTACACCGTACCCCTTCAGCGAAGTCCGGCAAACGAACGGGTGATGAGAAACTTCGTTAGTACAAATTCGAAATTTGAGATAAAAAATCACCAGACATGTTGATTTACCGTTTAAATTGTATTTTTTGTTCAGCTAGGCATTGTTTTATATCCAGGGATTAAGATTACCTTGTGTATTTTCTCGTAAACTAAGCCGGACACAGCAATCAGCTGTACATGTACACACGTTTTCTTGGAATCTACCGGTGATTCGGGCAAGACACACCCAATGATAGAACTTTTCAGTATTTTAATGCAAGGATCGGCAAAAGTTGTATCTAAAACTATTTTTTTATCAGGAATAATATATTCCAATATATTGTTAATTTAGATGCAGCTTTTACTAAACATATTTAAAATAATAATAACCCTAAGCGAAGCAGCTGATCGCTATTGCCGGGTATTATTTTTTACATGGAACCAGTCTGACCAGACACCGTCAAGGCTCCCGTGCACGTGATCGCGTGATCGCGAGAATTATGTGTTGACATATAATCGTCCAACAAAAACAAATCTGACTTTTGACGAATCAAAGTATGGCATTTATGATATATGTATCCATTCTCTGTCAACTAAAATTCCTTTCAAGGCGTCAATAGCGGTAATCTGACCGGGGGTTGCTGTTAATAACGGTGAGTTGTGCGATCTTCCGATCGCTTCACACACGATTTCGCCGAAATTAATTATAACAATATTAAAAGGAATTTTGAATAAAATTAATGAAATAAGTTACAAACATGAGTCCAGATATTCAAAGAACACTTTTTTTATAGCCAGACAGTGTAATTACATGAATAATTTGCGAACTTCAGTATGGATTTGTTGACATGGTATTTCCGGGGTTACGTGCTCACGGTAATGTCTTTCCATGGGGGAAAAACATCAAAACTCATTAATTCGTGTACAATGAGCAACCCCTTCTACACAGCTGTGTTTTTAGGAAAAAAGTGCGCACTATACTCAAGAAAATACGGTAGGTATAACTGCTGTTATGAAAATATCGTATGTATCGCGATACATGCTTTCCAAATCGATGCATCGTATCGTGGGCTGTGCATCGGGATACAATACTGTATCGCCGTATCGTTACACCACTAATACATACATACATACATACATACATACATACATACATACATACATACATACATACATACATACATACATACATACATACATACATACATACATACATACACACATACATATAATTTGGTTTCTTAGCTAGTCACTATTCTTTTCATTGCATTGTTAAGAAGGTATGCCATAATTTCAATATTTTATTACAGTGCTTGATGTTAGCTGGAATTATTTTAATCCTCTTAAACCCCCAGAGAAGATTATCCTCTGAGGTAATTTTTGTCCGTCTATATGTCACAAATTAGTGATAACTTATGAAAAATTATGAAAATTATGTACCGCATTATACGTGAGGTACCAAATTTGGTATCAAGGTTGCTTTGCGCAATCCACCAACGATTGCCGAGTTTAATGATCTTAGAATACTCTTCGTATAAGGTCAAAGAGAATATTTACGTTAGTGACAAAACCCTTTGCATTATAGATTTTCCATCCTTTCAATTTTGATCAAAATAGATATATTTCAGCAATAATTGATTGCAACAAATTAATTATACATTCTGATGCTCTTTGAAACTCAACAAGACATGCCCGAAGATACCGGATATTATTTGTGTATGCTTTGAATTATGATTTCGTGCCGTTATCATGATGGATTCTGTTTTTCTTGTTGGGGCAAGGAGTTTTTATCCCAGCAAAAGTTGTCAGTAAGTTGTTGTTAGTTCTTCATGACATGTGAAAGGAATCCAGACAGTTACATTTATTCATTTATTTCATTAAATATACTTCTTCCTATGAAAGGAAATATTTTATGTTATATTAATGATCCATATGTTAATCATACATTGCTACAAATATTGCATAAGTTAACATGGTTTGCATTTATTTATTATTATTTCTTTATCTGTGAGAAGTTCACAGAGATCGAGAGTACTCAATATCTAATAGTATATGCAATGTAGGTAAAGAATATCCACGCCCCTCTTTTGATATTAATAAAAACATTGTATATAATTTTATGTATTCAGTATTCTCCTTTCCCATGCATGGGAAATCTATGCTGCATTTGCTGACGACTGGTTTTTTCCTTTGACATTGCACAGGAGATCTGACACTCATTTGTTGAAATTTGAATTCTTCGTCAAAATATAATGTATAAATACGATTGAATTGTCTCGTTTGTTTCAAGGAAACGGTCATGTGCTCCTTATCAAATTAAGTAAACCTCCAATGCAAATCGACATAATTTCAGGGTCCGGTTGCACAGAGCTCTCTTCGGTAACTCGTCACTCAACGTTATTGCAATGGACTCCTAGCTAAGCTAGTATTGGATGATAAAACAATTAACCTATTTGTCGAATAGACCTACCTATCGAATCCATCATTTTTAACCCGAGGGTGGATCTTTCAGTCATAAATTTCGATGTGTACAGTTGCTAGAGTATCATTCTAACAATACAGACATGACACAAGCTGCACGTAAAATAATTGATAAAGGTAGTCCTTGCGGGTTCACATATCTACATGTACATCGCCCAGGACATTGTCATTATTTGCTTTACATCCTCCGAGCAACGTTAAAAAAATTGAAACTTGAATAATAATAAATTGATATTATGTATATGAACATGTATAAATCAGCTTGCACACAGACTACTGCAGAATGACATGCCATCCATTTGCTAGTTTAGTTTAGTTTAAACATATTTTATTCACAAAATCAGAATTGTAATGGGGACAAGTTCTTGCAACTTAGTAAACCCCTCTCCGCATAAAATCTGTACAAACATACAGTTGCAAAATAAATAAATTTGCTTCAGTCAGTAAAAGTCAGACTTTCCACATTCATACATCAATATAGTTGTGTAAGTTTGTTACGTTATAATTATTCCATTGTGTATATTACTACCTACTTTACCAATTGAAATATGATTCCATTAGGTTAAATATGAACAATTATGATGAAAATCGTCAATAGGATATATAAATTACAATTAAGTACAAAACACAAGGAGTATTTCTCAAATAAATAAGAAAACTAAGTTCATTCTAGTAATTAATCCTCTTCTGGGCAACCATAGAAATGAAATTCCAATGCGTTTATATATACATATAATTATACAACAATGTACGATAACGACCTCAATCCTCCCCAAAACCCATACTTTAATGACGATTGTACGATAAACCCTGTACCAACCCTGACAAGGATAGGTTCTAGTCTTTTAATGCCTTTGACACTAAACTTATAAGGTTATAACAATTTACGTAAAAAGTTATTACATTTTACCGCAAGTTGAGATTATTACAATTTATGTCAATTTTTATTACAATTTGCGTATTACAATTTACGTCAAATTTTATTACAATTTACGTTGTTATTACAATTTACGTCAAAATTATTACAATTTGCTGCAAGTATTACAATTTACCTTTTTATTACAATTTACGTCGTAACAGCCCTTGTTCTGTCCTAATGGGTATTACGAGGACCTGTGTAGTAACGAGCAAATGAAACATAAACAGACAGTCGTGATAGAGGGAAGTAAAAACATGTAGAGAATACTTATATGCAGTTAATATTACGAAACTCAGTGTCATGACTTGGGAACAGAAAGAGATTTTTGTTTTAGCTTCGCATAATGTTACTGTTTTAAATATGGCTCACTGGTGGTGGATATTGTAGCCCTTTGAATTATTCGGGTGTTGGTAGAGGGCAAAGTACTTGAAGATCGGTAAGCCGAAATCATTGGTAACATCGCAAATATATAGAGAATCTCACCCGAGTGTCTTTTGATATCAAATATATCAACACGAGTTGATAAAAGTGGAAAAATGCCGAGGCTTGCCGAGGATATTTGCCACTTTTATCAACGAGTGTTGATATATCTGATATCAAAAGACACTCGGGTGAGATTTTATGTATCATCCAACATCATTCTTTCAACTTTTTCATTTTGTAGATAGTAATTAGCAGTGTTTTCAGTGTGAAAAGTACTGCAAACAGCTTCAGTAGCTGAGCCATTAGTGATGTCATTTGATTGTGACGTCATGGTAACCAGTGATGTCACAATGGTCTGCAAAGCATTGTGATGTAATTTCATTCGATCTCATCCAAGCGTTATCTCCTGTAGGAGCCAGTTTTGGATGATAAATCGAGCTATTTATCGTTCGGAACAAGCGTTGTACCGATTGGGATACTGTAGTGTCCGTTATTGTAAGGATCTAACTTTGTACAGACTAAAGAGAGGTCAAAATTTCACATCAAGCTGACGCACTGTGATATAAATGAAATACTGTTCACATCACACGTCAAACTGACGTGCCGTAATATAGCTGAAATATTGTTCACAGCAAACTCACATGCCGTGATATAACTGAAATACTGTTCACACCACACATCAAGCTGACGTGCCGTAATATAACTGAAATACTGTTCACATCATACATCAAGCTGACGTGCCGTAATATAACTGAAATGCTGTTCACATCACACGTCAAGCTGACGTGCCGTAATATAACTGAAATGCTGTTCACATCACACGTCAAGCTGACGTGCCGTAATATAACTGAAATGCTGTTCACATCACACGTCAAGCTGACGTGCCGTAATATAACTGAAATACTGTTTACACCACACGTCAAGCTGACGTGCCGTAATATAACTGAAATACTGTTCACATCACATGTCAAGCTGACGTGCCGTAATATAACTGAAATACTGTTCACATCACACGTCAAGCTGACGTGCCGTGGTATAACTGAAATGCTGTTCACATCACCCGTCAAACTGACGTGCCGTGCCGTGGTATAACTGAAATACTGTTTACACCACACATCAAGCTGACGTGAAAGCTAACTGAAATACTGTTCACATCACACGTCAAGCTGACGTGCCGTGGTATAACTGAAATACTGTTCACATGAAGCTGACGCGCCGTGATATGTTCACATCAAGCTCACGTTCCGTGATATAACTCGTGATAAATCAGAGTATGATCAGTTATTTCCAAATAAGGATGTGTATATACTCACGCTGCTGTAGTCGATGTAGGAGTAGGATCGTGTGATGTTCAAAGCTGTCAGCCGTCTGTCAGAGGATCGGAAAAATATTCTCTCTTTGGACTTCAAAATGGCTGCCGCTTCCTTTACGGTTACGTTTGTATCGATGTCACGTGACCATCTACTTCTTAAAACTTTTGCTCGGCGACGCTGAAATACACAATCAACTCAATTTTGAATGCTGTATGTTTTAGTGAAATGTTTATCTACAATGTTAACATTAGCATCATTGCAACGGATGCTTTGTGGTGAAAATAGAAATGTCCGGGCATCGTGTCAACAGTTACATTAGACTAGATGATTCCAATGGCATATATTATAAGTTGTCCACCAGTAACTTAAATTAACACTGAGGGTACATTAACCTGTGTCACCGGGGGAACCAGAGGACCAAGAAGTTTTCTAACTGCACACCTAATATATGTCTTATGTATGCATGCCATGATCTCAGTCGGTAAGAATTAAACATTTTGGAAAATTAGCAATGGCAATAAAGAAACTTATTTAATAATTTCATTTCTAAAATTTCGTAAATACATCCTCAGTTCGAGATACAAATGCGGTTGGTATGTTACCACAGTTCGGCAATCCGAGCGGGAAATATAAGAAATGCACCTTACGTGTTATTGGGGTACATTGAAAACAACAGAATGGGCCTAAGCCAATCACAATTCGACATTCATGTTTTAGGTGAGATACTTTAAGATCAGGCCACAATCGTCCTTCGGAAACTCCGCTACCCTTTTATATGTTGTGTTGTTGTTTGTCGCCTCAGTCAGCAGCAGTGAAGCGATATCGCGGCAATGTACTGATGGTGTATTATTCCTCCCCTTAATGGCTGCATGTTTGTGTGTAGAGATTTACAATTACTTTATTTGGCGCAAAATTATCTTGTTGAAACATCCCCATTCCAAGGTTTCAAAAAATGAGAACTCCTAAGAGTAATTTCCGAGATAAAGGATTGGAAAATCATAAGACGAATTATTGAAAACATAAAGATCTTTACCTGTTGCCGAGTTTGACCTTGAACCATACAGCTGCATAACACAAGCCCCAACATGACTGCCAGTGTTGCCGTCACCCTCATGGTTGTGTGAGATGAAGTCACGACTGAACCTGCCTTGAACATTTATAGCGCCCGGATTGGACAATGGCGTTTGTTGCGATGACCAGAGGGCAGTTATGTCATTAAGTCTGGCCGGAACTGACACAGATTGGTCAAAGGCACTCTTGACGTCACAATGTGTGTTTGTCAACCTCGTTTTCTCCATGAGTGATTATTACGAGGATATGCTGTGACGCAGGCGCAGTTAAATCTGTCATCATGTCTCACATAAATTGTCCCATATGCTTTGAGCAATGGCAATGATTTCTTCTCACTTGTTAAATTAATTCATAATGCTACAAGTTTACAAGTGCTTCGTCGAAATGTTTTATCCAAAGCAAGGAAATGGTGGATATTTGTTTAATAAAGAAAGGACATTATCTTTTCAAATTGATAGGTCCACCATGTATTTATTGTCTGTATATAGTAATATGAAGTAAGTGAGTGAAACATTAAATCTCGCAACTGTACGAATAGTACTGAAACATCTCAGATATAAATTAAAACAAACTAGATCATGGGGTGAAATGCATTTCAATAATTACACAGTGACTAATAACCACATAAAAGTGGATGGACGTGCTTGACTGATGCACCAGCAAGATTTTGTACTTTTGTTGTAAACATATGTGAAAGCCTCATGACTAAATCACCTCACAATTTATGTTCGAATGTAAATACACTGTGGAGATTTGGATCAGCCAAGTTAAAAAGATACATTTTGTTGGAATCTAAGGCATTTCTCTCACACAGACCAAAACACTTTGTCAGGCGCTCGCAGAAAAACCTTCAATATACATATTGTATAAATAAGCGGCACACAAAATCCCATCATCATAAGAAATCTCTACTAAAAGCAAAGTCCATTGTACGATTTGACTTTATCATAAGCATTTGTTAATAAATCATTATCAAATAGTGATGATGCCCGGTGTTCGCGAAAACTGTTCATAATTCATAGTAGTTAATATGCCAACACGTGTAATATGCATGTACTTTTAATGGTGAGCTGCTAAAAGCTACTTCAGTTATTCTGACCATGTCATGCATGGGAATTACAAAAGAACTTCTGTCGCCCATAGACAACACGTCGCTCCATTCGTTCAGTAGTATCAGTAGTACCTGTTTTCGATCGTGATTGATTAGAACACGTCGTCATTCTCAACATCAATCACAAACAGAACATGTAGCTCGAGGGTCTCTGAACTGTGCAGTGCGTCAAAGCACATGACCCACTCGTCTGTGACATGTCATGTACTGGCAATAGGGGCCGCACGTTTCAGAATAGGGATTAAAACGTCAAACCTACTTTAGAGAACACTATAAGTGTATCATGACAGTGTGGGTACACGGAGGTCTAAAAGTATTAATATGTATAATTAAAAGTGGTAAGACTCCTCCCATAATAATCTCTACTAAAATCAGTGTTGATTGATCGATTCTAATCACATCATAGGGAAATGTCACGTACATGTATGTACTCGTCTATACATGCTTGAGGCCGCCTCCGTGGTCTAATGCATAGAGTGTCTGCCCGGAGAGTGGAAGGTCCGTGGTTCGATCCCGTCCGCGTCATACCAAACACACGTTAATGCTACTAGTTGTAGCCTGGCGCTCGACATTAATGACATTCAACACGGACTGGCCTTCTCGGAATCAAAATATGTGTCTGAGTTGGGGATCCATGTTAAACTGCGGTAACGTATCACAATGAGCTAGAACTATAAAACCTTTATAAGTCCGGACTAGTAGACACAGACACAGACACAGACACACAGGCACACAGACACACACACACAGACACACACAAACACACACACACACACACACACACACACACACACACATACATACATACATACATACATACATATATACACATGTGCATAGGTCTTCAGCAACCCATGCTTGTCGAAAGAGGCGACTAACGGGATCGGTTGGTCGGGCTCGCTGACTTAGTTGATGCATGTCATCGTATCCAATTGCATGGGTCGATGCTCATGGTGCCAATAACTGGATTGTCTGGTCCAGACTCGATTATTTTCAGACGACCGTCATATAGCTGCAAGATTAAGATTGCTGATTGCGGCGTTAAACAACATAAACACAGAAAAACATCGCTAAATAAGTGAACTAATCATAAATGCAACGTTAAACGCAATTTCACCCCACTTCCTGTAACTGTGTGGACCTATGTGTGCATTTTCATAATCCGAGACCGGTCACCCGATTATTGTTATATATATACATTTGTAGGTTGCTTGGTTAACGCCGCACTCAGTATTATTCCATTTATATGATGGCGGTCTGTAATTCCAGTGATTGACATCATGAGCATCGATCTATGCAACTGGCATACAATGACCTGTATCAACCAAGTCAGGGAGCCTGTAGTCGCTCCTTTCGACAAGTTGAACACCAATTCTAACCCGGATCTTCACGGGTACTCACTGTTTTATTATGGTATATGCAACAAATGTACAACCAAATTATCGTCTCAGAGCATGCACTGTTTGGAAGGGGTCTTCGTGGATGTATGGGGATTCAATGCATGTGTGATGAATCTGACAGACATTGTCAAAACGAAAAAACATGAAACCATGAAACACTCATAAGCTACTAAATTAAAAGAAGGAAATAAAAACACAATATATGATGAAAAGAACATCTCGGTACTAACAAGGCTATTCAGCAACGTGTTACAGTGAACGTTACATGATGCGTATAAAGGAGAGGATTTAAACAATTGACATTTACGAATAAAAGGCATTGTTTATATTCCGGTCCATATTTCCAGTGACAGGGAAGTTACAGCAGTATAGAAATAGTATTGATAACCTGTATTCATACTTCATAAATGGCGTGGCTTATTGCTGGCGAGCATTACAGTTCCGTGATAAAACGTCTGAGTCGTGTATTAACGTAATCACATTCAAGAAACTGCATCACCGCTCAGGAATAACTGTATCCTTCAACCAGACGACCACAGTTTTACACGAAAGGTAAATCTTTCCGACAAATGTATCAGATTCATAAATATGTAAAATTTACATATTCTAATAAATATACCAATGCTGGATTCACTATTTAGCTGGCTTTGACAAACCTATGCTTCTTATTGGTGTCTTAGTGGTGTCTTATTTATTTCCTTGCGGTGTCTTATTGGCGTTCTATTGGTGTCTTAGTGGTGTCTTATTTATTTCTGATTGGTATCTTATTGGTCTCTTTTTGGTGTCTCAGTGGTGTCTTATTTATTTCTGATTGGTATCTTATTGGTCTCTTATTGGTGTCTCAGTGGTGTCTTATTTATTTCTGATTGGTTTCTTATTGGTGTCTTAGTGGTGTCTTATTTATTTCTGATTGGTATCTTATTGGTCTCTTATTGGTGTCTCAGTGGTGTCTTATTTATTTCTGATTGGTATCTTATTGGTCTCTTATTGGTGTCTCAGTGGTGTCTTATTTATTTCTGATTGGTATCTTATTGGTGTCTCAGTGGTGTCTTATTTATTTCTGATTGGTTTCTTATTGGTGTCTTAGTGGTGCCTTATTTATTTCTGATTGGTATCTTATTGGTCTCTTATTGGTTTCTCAGTGGTGTCTTATTTATTTCTGATTGGTATCTTATTGGTGTCTCAGTGGTGTCTTATTTATTTCTGATTGGTTTCTTATTGGTGTCTCAGTGGTTTCTTAGTGGTGTCTTATTTATTTCTGATTGGTATCTTATTGGTGTCTCAGTGGTGTCTTATTTAGATCTGATTGGTATCTTATTGGTGTCTTAGTGGTGTCTTATTTATTTCTGATTGGTATCTTATTGGTGTCTCAGTGGTGTCTTATTTATTTCTGATTGGTTTCTTATTGGTGTCTCGGTGGTGTCTTAGTGGTGTCTTATTTATTTCTGATTGGTTTCTTATTAGTGTCTCAGTGGTGTATTAGTGGTGTCTTATTTATTTCTGATTGGTCTCTTATTGGTGTCTCAGTGGTGTCTTAGTGGTGTCTTATTTATTTCTGATTGGCTTTTATTAGTGTCTCAGTGGTGTATTAGTGGTGTCTTATTTATTTCTGATTGGTATCTTATTGGTGTCTCAATGGTGTCTCAGTGGTGTCTTATTTATTTCTGATTGGTTTCTTATTAGTGTCTCAGTGTTGTCTTAGTGGTGTCTTATTTATTTCTGATTGGTTTCTTATTAGTGTCTCAGTGGTGTATTAGTGGTGTCTTATTTATATCTGATTGGTGTCTCAGTGGTATCTTAGTGGTGCCTTATTTATTTCTGATTGGTATCTTATTGGTGGCTTAGTGGTGTCTTAGTGGTGTCTTATTTATTTCTGATTGGTATCTTATTGATTTCTCAGTGGTGTCTTAGTGGTGTCTTATTTATTTCTGATTGGTTTCTCATTAGTGTATCAGTGGTGTATTAGTGGTGTCTTATTTATTTCTGATTGGTATCTTATTGGTGTCTCAGTGGTGTCTTAGTGGTGTCTTATTTATTTCTGATTGGTCTCTTATTGGTGTCTCAGTGGTGTCTTAGTGGTGTCTTATTTATTTCTGATTGGTATCTTATTGGTGTCTCAGTGTTGTCTTAGTGGTGTCTTATTTATTTCTGATTGGTTTTCTTATTAGTGTCTCAGTGGTGTATTAGTGGGGTCTTATTTTTTTCTGATTGGTATCTTATTGGTGTCTCAGTGTTGTCTAAGTGGTGTCTTATTTATTTCTGATTGGTGTCTTATTGGTGTCTCAGTGGTATCAGGTGAGGAGGGAAGGGTTGGACAGAAGGCTCAGAAAGGATGAAGAGGTTTTGGAGACGTGGGATGAGGGTTTGTTTGTTTTCATGCTATATTAATATCAACGAGAGGTTTGGTTACAACAGATCATCGCTGTTCCGAACTTCATGATTCAGCTTCGAAGCATATAGCTAGTCGATAATGACATGGGATGTATGTTTCTAGTATGAAGCAAGGTGCTGCGATTGTTAAGTACAACACCAATAGGGATTATAAGACATCCAATACTTAATGATGAAGCAAGTCATTATATTGAAAACCATATTACAGATTTTAGCAATACCCTGGTG